GCCAGGAGCCTGTAATCAACTATATAGAAAGAACTGATTTTCAACAAAACTTCTCACTGCTACTAAGAAACGTGCAACACAATAACACTGGACTCTATGAGGCAAAAGCAAATGGAGTCCAAGAAAAAACTGTAGCTCAATACACAGTTATAGTCCAAGGTAAGTTTTCTCTCATTTGCTTCCTATATTGAAATCATTCTAAATGTTTTTATAGCACTCTGTTTTAAAACAACTCAAATCTTGTTTTGATCAGATCCAGTGTCTCCAGTGAAACTAACAGTGACCCCCGTTGACCCCAGCTGCTATAACTTCACTGTGACGTGTAAAACAGTGGATTCTCAAATCAGTGGAACTTTTCAATGTGAAAATAAAACCTGCCGTTTACTGGATCAAGCAAACCTGAAGGATTCATCTCTGAAGGTCTATGTAGAGGAAAGCATCATCTTCTGTAATCATAGCAACAACGTGAGCTGGCAACACGATGAGAAGAATGTTTCATCTTTCTGTGAAAAACAACCTGGTAAGATTTATGCAAAAACAGTCTGATACTTTTAAACTTCAAATATCGGAAAGTTAGATGTTTTACATTGTAAAACCAAACTGATGCTGCATAATTCTGAACTGAAAATATAAACAAAACACATAAACCTCAATAACCAATGCAAGCTGTTTAGAATTTCTTTATAGCATTATTTTGCTTCTAATAAACATTGGAATTGGACATTTTATGTTGCATTTGACTAAAAAAATGTTTGGCTGGGATAAGAAAGAAATATCTGGCAATTTTTTCCATTTTGTATGAATTTCCAAGCAGTAGACAGACATTAGAGGGAGTTAAGTTTTGTTTGTTATCAGCTCCTATTGAGTCCAAATCCTGTTACCTCACTGTGATTGTAAAATGAGATTCTCAAATTGGAACAACTTTTTTCATTCTTTTACAACTATGCACAAAAACTGAGCATTGCTTCCAAAATTTTGGCACTCCATGATTTTGTAGAGTGTCAAAAGTCCCAGTTTTATTTATTTATTAACTTAGTTAAAGCTTTATTCAAATTTAAAAGTAACATTTCAGAGTTCAGAAAATTCCTTAATATTCTGTAAGAAATAAAGTTAATCATAGAATACATTTAGATAAAAAGTATTTAATGCATAGTATTTATTTACTCATATTTATTTTATCTATTATTTTTCCAGTCAAAATTCAGGCACAATGTGAAATTTAATGCAATGTGAAAGTTTTACGTTGTTATTCTCTTTTTACAGCGTACAATGAACCATCATAATTAACGTCATAAGAATTACCTTGGCTGCAATTCTGGTTGTAATTTGCACATTATTTGCTGTTATAAGAAAATGTGAGTATTAGTATTTATATGCACTTATATAAACGTATATATAAAATACTTCCTGACTTTAAAAGATGAAGAAAAATAAAACCTTTTCTAATAAAAATGTCATGATTGTACCTCTTGTTTCTTCTATTTATAGATTATTCATGAGTCATAGAAAACTAAAGATATTTATGGCTTTTTATAAAGTTGTTTCAGTTTTGATTGTTTTCTTTGGACTAAAACAAGTTTTTTTATATGCCTTTAAAATATATGAAAGATGTAGATGTTTTAAGGGACATTGGGGATTTTAAAAAGGAATGAAAAAGGAAAAGTGAAAAACAGGAATAATGTATTTAAGAAATGTTTATATCCATAGGTTTAACATACAAGAGGCAAAATCAAAGTAGTCAGTTTTAAAATCTCTGAAGAGTTTTTTGACTCTTAGGATTAAAAGCATTTTTTAATTTGTTTAAAAATAATGCATAATTAAAGCATAGAAATTGCAACTTCTAGAGATGTTGCAATCAATACTCAGTATTGACATTTTTGTTTCAAAGCTATTCAACACAAGAAGGAAATTTCTGCAGTATTACGACAAATGAATGGCTTATCTAATCCAAAACAATTTTTTTGTTTTGTTTTCAAGGTAAATGAAAAAGCAAACCAGAGCAAACGGCACATGAGGTTGAAGAGGTGAGCAGCAAGTTCTTTCTCTAAAGATTAACTGGACAATTTGAAGGTTTAAACTCATCAGTAAATATTTTGTTATCCAAATGAAGTTTAGAATTAGCTCTGGTTATTCTGCAAAGACTTTTTTCCACTCTGTCCCTCCATCTGATCTCACTGCAACATCAGCAGCTCTCCATCCTGTCTGCTCATCAACTTTCTGCTTCTTTCTCCATTTCTAAAGTTTTGGAGCAACTTATTCTTTGACATATGTTATTTGTGTTCTAACAATGACAATTTTCACAATGTGGAGTATGTATAAATACTAATACATTTAAATCTCTTAATGATGTCACACCAGGTCAGTCAGCCAATGAGAGCCCTGTAGCAGATTCTTCAGACAGATCTGAAACATTCAGACTCTGTGGTTTCTAACGATGGAGAGACTGGAAACACGCTCAAACAAATGGAAGAATCCCATTCACTGTCTCAAAAATACAAATATGATGCTTTTGCAAAACTGTAATATGCTTTGACAATAGTTGAATTTGCAATGTAACATAATTACAGGTTGACATAAAATGAATGCTGGACATTTGGAACCTACGCTGAACATTTATTAGTATAATTATATTGATAAATCAGAATATGTAAGCATTTCTAAACATAAATTTCTGAGTACATTTATACATTTGTATTTAAACACATCTTTACCACAGACGATTATATCATGGTTGCACTTTTTAATTTATAGACTTTTGCATGTTACTTCATTTTAGCCTTTAGAGCTGCCATGATGGAAGTCTGTTTTTGTTTACAAAGTGTTATATTGTCTTTAATCCAATGAAAGATTCTTATAAAAGTGCAATATTGTGTGCAATTTTTATGTAAAATAAACTTTGTAGCAAATATTTCATAACAGATTTTGTGCCTCCTGTAAAATTTGTTCACACATAGTAAAATTGTAGTTGTCTCACCTTATAGTTCAACGACGTTACACTCTAAAAAGTGTTTTTGGCCGTAGTTCATTTATGGCTGTAGCAATTCATTACTTTGTGTTCATCCATTCATCCATTTTCTAGCACCCTTCTCCCTATCGGGGTCGGGAGGTGCTGGTGCCTATCTCCAGCTGCGTTCCGGGCGAGAGGCGGTACACCTTGGACAGGTTGCCAGTCTGTCGCAGGGCAACACAGAGAGACAAACAGGACAAACAACCATGCACACACACTCACACTAGGGAGAATTTGGAAAGACCAATTAACCTGACAGTCATGTTCTTCTTGGATTGTGGGAGGAAGCCGGAGAACCCGGAGAGAACCCACGCATGCACAGGTAGAACATGCAAACTCCGTGCAGAAAGACCCCGGGCCGGGAATTGAACCCAGGACGTTCTTGCTGCAAGGCAACAGCACTACCCACTGCGCCACTGTGCAGTGGGTAGTGCTGTGCCTTTGTGTTCAATTAACTTAAAAGTTACAATCTAGCTAACTTGACTTCAAGAAACGTTTTCACTTTGACTTCACTTAAAACAATAGATTTCAATGCCAGTTTCATATTCTTCGTCTGACCAATGAATCTTTTGCAATCTTCTAACACGATTTTATAAGTTTTTATAACTTAATTCATTAAGAGTGTTTAATATGAAATATTTAAGTCAGTCCTAGTGAAATTGTTTATTTTTTCCTGATGAATAATTCAAATCTCCACCTAAATTTTACTGAAAATTAACTCAAACTTTTAAGTTGTTCCAAATTAAAACATACAAAATTACATTGTCACTCACATTGTACATTAAATACGGCTAGAATTTAAATTATTTTAAATGTAACATGTTATTTTAGTTTTTCAAAGAAAAAAAAATAGTTGAACCAACTTAATTGAATTGCTTCAATTGGTAACAAGTAAGTCAATTAAGTTAAACCAACTTAATCCATTGAGTTGATTTAGCTGAAATAAGAAGGGGAGGACACACAGTTAAGGTCATCAGGCTGAAATAAAATTTACAACAGCCAAGTTGTGCTCTACCCCTGCATCACTTCACCACACTGGATGATACAGGATCTGTCTCTGGTGAAGCTTGTGTAATGACATCAGACTTAAGATTCGAATGCAGCATTGAACGAATACGTTCTACAGCATGATTAATGTACTCTAAATATAACATTTTTAGAGTACACTTCTTAGAGTACACTCTCAAAAGTCTCAAAAGTGTTTGGTGCAACACTGTGAGTGTGTTATTTCAAACTAAGTGACATATAAAACTCAACAAGGATTTAATGAAATGTTTTGATCCTGTACAACATAGAGCACTTCATAAAATGATCATCATAATAAAAAACCTTTTATTTTCTGTCATCTGTTTTCATTCAAAGGTTTCTTCAGATTAAAGAATGAACATAATATCCTACCTGACCATAGATATGAAAAAATAAAGTTATATAAGAGTCACAACATTTTCCCTTATAATGATAAATTTGGGATTTATAATTTAAGTCAACTAAACACACCTAAACAAAATAGTAATTGAGAGATTAAGTTGTATGCTATAGCAAGAAACAGACACAAGACAGACAGATTAGTAGAAAGGCATAAATTCGGATATCTAGAAAACTGTTTCCTGAGAGATATTCTGCACTCGTGAACCTATCCAACATCTAAGCTTGTGTGTTCTGACATGAACTGTCTGTAGAAAGACAATACCTACACTGTGGTTAAACTTGCACATGTTTAGCTTTCTGAAGTCTTCCTGTGGAAGCTGTCATGAGCATTACATACTGCATAATATACTGTTTTACCTACAGTATATTATTGTTCTCCCATTTTGAGCCATTACAAAAATGTTCCTTTGCAGAACTGTTTTGCTAAGGCTTCATTCAAGCTTCACTGTGTCAAAATAATCTGATTTCTATCCAGTATTTATGACTCATTAAAATCAACCATCCCCAACCACTTCTCTTACAGACTTATGTTCATATAGGAAGTCCCTAAGAAGCTTCCTCTTAGGCACGATTGAAAAATGGCGATCGTCACATTCCTATTTGCCCTGTTTCTATTCTACTCATTTCAAATACAAGGTAATACAGCTCTGTTTTTAACTTTTCAACATTTTGACAATTTTATATTAGTTCAAAAGTAGTTATACGTGTTTTCGTTTCATGAAGCAAGTGGAAGAAAGTAGAAAGTTCAGTTCAGGAAGTAAGGAGGGAGTTCCAGTAAGACAAGAACTATTTAAAACTTTTAAAAATACATTTTTGTGCACTTTTCTTTGCACTGAAACTCCTTCAGGTTCACTAATTCACAAGCTAGAGCAGCGAAACTCAAATGAAAAGATGTTTGGTTGAGATCTGTAGAAATTACTTGAGTCTTGTAATGGAGTTTAAGTAAGATGGGTGTGCCTTTAAACCTAAATTTTTATTTTATTTGGGTTCCTTTTATCTTTTATAATTTCAATTTCTCCATTTTCATTTGAGTATCAGTTTGTTCAGACGAGGATGAAAGAAATATGAATTTTCTCTGATTTCAACTGACGATAAAAACAAAAATAAAAAAATATTAAATTTCAATGTGCCACTAGACCTAATGTGTTTCTGTGAAACAATAAATAAGTAAAAAATTACTAATTTAGAAATTTTCCTTCATCTGTTCACTATAAATACTTGACAACTTTGTCCTCATCTCAATTTATTTTATTTTCCATTTTTCAGGTTCCTCTGCAGCAGTGACTGATGTGTTTGTGAAAACTGGAGATGATTTTATTCTGAATCTCACAGAAGCTGAAATTCCACCAAATTCTCGCTTTTGTGTATGGCTATTCAAAGATGATATCCTGGTAGAGTTTTTACGTGGCTTCCAACCAGATGTTATTAATCGCTCTGGAAAAGTTGAAGTTTTAGAAAAAAGTTACAGTGTGAAATTAAAGGATCTAGAGAAATCACACAGTGGTATTTATACTGCAAAGGTAGTATCGCCTAGAGAGCAAATACTGACTCAATACAACGTTACAGTTCAAGGTAAGTTTTTCTGATATTTATATTTCTGATGTCTATACTATTTAGCAGAATAATGTGCTACATACTTCCAAATGGACGAAGAAGTTAAAACTTCAACACATGTAGCCCACAGGATAACCCTGTCAGAATCTCAGTTTGGGTTTCAGACCTTTAATAAAGGAATCCATATTCAAAAACATTACAAGCTAAAACAATGCTCTAAGAATAATGTTGCTCTTTGAGTTACATTTCTTGTTGAATTTCTGCCTCTTTTTCTGTTTCTGATGTTCTAAAGCTTCTCATATAAATTTAATCTCCCAGATCCAGTGTCTCCAGTTGATCTCAACGTTACCTACATGTCCTGCTCCTCCTCCTCCTACAGCCTGACAGCGACCTGCAGGGCAGACGACTCTTCCATCAGCATCACTCTAAGATGTGAGAAACAAACCTGCAACCAGGACGGAGGAGAGAGAAGATTGGTCACCAAATCTGGATCTTCTCTTCATGTATATCGGATGGAAGAATCAATTGTCTGTAGCCACAGCAACCAGGTCAGCAGGAATGAATCAATCAGACAGATTGAGAATCACTGTACAAATTACGGTAAGACATCATAAAAATAAAATTTTGGTTTCAACCCGGTTATAAAACTGATAAAAGTTGTTTGCATGTTCACTTATTTTATTATTATGCTTTATTGGTTATATCAGAGAATCTATACATTTCAACCTGAGTATTTATAAACAACAAAAAAAAGCTATTTCAAATTCAGGCCTGAAAAGTATGACATGAATTTAGTTTCTTCTTGCTTTCACAGCAATGGTTTTATTAATCTTATACAGGTTTTGTTTGCATTCACTAGTATAACTGAACTATTTCTCTTTTTTTTTTGTCAGAACCCAGAAAAAATTACTGGTACTTTACATCGATCCTGTTGATTCTTCTACTCCCTATAATTTATATTCTCTGTCGGAGTCACAAGAAAAGTAAGTTCAGGTTTCCATTAGTGTTGTGGTTAATCAATATCTGTGTAGCCTATGATGCATTGTCTAGCAAAAAGTATTCATGTCCCTATAATATTATATATCACAGACCAACACAAAGTAATGGACAATTAAGGGTTGAAGGACAAGGAAATGTTATTTCTGTTTACATCAACTCTGGTTGAGTAATAAATATAGGATTTTAGAAGTAGTGGCAATTATAAAATTTAAAAAACAATTCTAATTATTTGGGCCGACAATGGTTCAGGAGGTAAAAGTTCATCCTCTAATCGATGGGTTATTAGCTCCATTTGGGTCAGGATGAGCTTCACCTTCCAGCAGAAAAACAACCCTAAGCATACATATACAGATACTTCAAAAGGTTAATTTTAAGCTTACTTTAAATTTACCTTAATATTAAGCTTTAAAACAAATGCATGAGATTTTTATCTTATAGAAAAATGTTAAACTGCATGTCGTTTTCCTTTTATTGCACAGTTAAGTACTACTTTGTGATTTTTAATCTGATAAGAGCCACTGAGGATTTTGGTTCTGTGGTAAAATATATGAGATAACAAGGTGCTGTGTATGTATATATAGGGATTTACTTTAATGTCAATAATATTTATTGGCAATTTTTATTTACAACACCAGGGTTAAGTAGTAATTTAGTTGATCGTTTTTAATTTGAAATAGCTTAGAACACCTGTTAGGTTGAAATTATCAGGTGTTAAACTTACAACTTATAATGTTACAATATCTATTCTGAGGATCAGGATATAAAAACCACATTTGGACATAATGTAGGCATAATTCAAGTTATCTAATGAACCAAAATAGTAGTCAGAACAGATAATTAGAGCAAGATAAAACAACAATATTCAAACCAACGCTTTTAAAGTATAAATTATTTCTTTATGTCCGACCAGCAGGTAACAATGGCAGCTTTGACAACACAATATATGCTCTTCCTGAGGTAAGTGATGGTATTGCTTCCCTCTGTGCTTAAAAATATATAGTTTAAATTAATAGACAATATTTGATTAAAGGAATCTGTAAAAGTCAGAAAACATTTTGTAATTTAAAGCTTTAAGTCGACTGTTCTATCTAGTTCTTTTAATTACAAGTTGAAAACATTTGTTTTTGTAGTATCTCTGTCTGGTAAATGACCCATTTTGGCTTCTGAACCTTTTCCTAAATTAAAGGTTTCTGATTCTCATGGGACAGAATCTCCTTGCCTGTCTGATTAAAATAGTTTGAAACCTTTTTTTTCCCCTCCAGCATTAATTTAACCCAAAGATCAGCAGGTGTCAGTAGGATGATAAACAACTAAACATGGACCTAACACCAACTCTAACACCGACCCATGAGGATTAGAATGATCCATTCTCATACTTTAATTGGACAAAAAACTGCAATTAGTATTTTAAAAGTTGCGGGTCAAATGTGTGTCCCAATATAAAAACTGAATGAAATAATGCAGGAACACAAACTTTAATTCCTGCTTTTTTTTCATGAAGCTTTGCTTCTTTTTCATGGTAACTATTTGCTAATGTAGCACAAGCAATTTATATTCAGCTGCTCTGGCACCCTAGCAGTTAATGTATGTAAAAGGTTAAGTGATTTGATGTTTTGTTTAAATTAACACTGAAGAAAACCTTTTCCAGAACTGTTTTCCAGTGTTTTATTGACTGATTATGTTTGTTTTCCAGGCAAAAGACAATCAAACTGAAACATTGCATGAAACAGCTGGAGTTGAAGCTGTTATTTATTAAAAGAAAACTCTCCCTATTTGCTTGTCAAAATAATCAAGACATTTACAAAACAATGATCTCTTGAGATAAAAATAATTAGACTTAAAAAGAGAAAAACACATTGTTAGCAGAAATAATTTGCAGTAAATTCATTTTAACTCTGATCTTTATGTTTACATTTTTAGTGAGCTTCCACAGAATGCCACCCAGAGAATGTTAAAATATTAAAATGTGTTTTTTTTTTCTCTTTGTTATTTTTCTTTCTAGGAACCTTCACAGCACAACCCATATGAAAATCCTGCAGAAATTACTGAAACTCCTTCTCCAACATCAACGTATGCACTGGTGCAGTTTCACAATCCTACTGTACAACCCAGTGTCACCAGTACATCCACAAAACCACAACCTGAAACAATTTATGCTCAAGTTGACAGAGCTGCCAAGTCCAACCCAAAACCTGCAGCAGCCAAAAGATGACAAAAGAAAATCAAAATGGACAATGTATATTACTGTGTTTTAACTGTACCAAAAATAATCCAAACGAGTAAACTAGCTTTAACTCTAAACTAGTTTTTACTTATTTTTGTAGATTTTATTTTGCATGTATTTACTGATAAAGCATAAAATCTTCCTATCCTCCACAAACTCAGTTTGTAGAGCTAAGAGATTTACAGTTATTACGATTAATATCAGCACAGCATATTTAATACTTTGTTTTCATCATTGTTCTCTCCAAAAAGCACTGCCTTGAACTTTAGTATTTTGCTTTTCCGTTTGTGAAAATCTAAATGTTTCTATTTTTGCACATGTTTGTATTTCATACTTCTTGCTGCTACAGGTTCTGTTTTTTTTGTTGAGGTGCTTAAAAGTAAAATAGTTAATTAAATAATCGGCGATGTTTTTGATGTCAGGTTTTGACTAAAAGTACAGTTATACGTTGTGATAGATATCACCCTGTCGATTTAGTTTATTGCAGAATGTCTCAGACTGATATTCATCAGGTTACAGGATTTTCTAACTGAACTTGAGAAAGAAATGAAGTCCTTGTTTTTCAGTTATTTAAAAAGCAACTATATATCTGAGAGAAAAAGATCAGATATGGATTATTCATGCAATTTCATGGTATTCTGCATTCTCATTACATTGTATTTTTTTTAAATGTGAAGGATGTTTTTCTTTTTTTCTTTTTCTGTTGCTGTTTTTTTGACCGATGTAAAAGAAAGTTTTTTTTTTTTTTTTAGAAAAATCACAAGTCTTCTTAAGAAAAGCATTGTAGTTTTTTTCCTTCAATAAATCTATACTAGTGCAGTTCATCGGAACTGGTCAAAGATACCTTGTATTAGACCCACATGTATTAAGTGCATGTGATAATTTAATGGTTTTTAAACCAGTGTAATCTGGTTAGCACAGGTTGCTGACCAAAATCTCTCGATACATGGTGCCATGCATTTTCTCCTCAGTACGGTGCAGTCGTCCTGCCCGCTTTACTGAAAAGTTACCCCAAAGTATTCCTCCTCTTTTTATTCATTTATGTTTTACCTCTAAACACGGCAAGTGGATTTTACCATAAACTCCTATGTGATCTTATTTCTGCATGACCTTCTTGATTGAATCATCCAGATGGTGTCTGGTAAACTCCAGCTGATTGGTGGGTGGTTAAAATGGTTCATGCAATTAAATGCAAAGTAAATGTGCATAAATATCCAAATATTAAAAAAATCTTTTAAAAAAATTCTGTGAATTGCTGAATTTTTAAAAAGACTCACAGTTGAGATGCATTTTCAAATTACTAACCTCTTCATCTATTGGAAGTGTAAAACCTTGAATAGTTAAAGGTGAATCAAATATTAAATGTTTTCATATTGTGTGTATTTCTATTATTTCTCTCACTGTTAAAAGTTGTGTTAATAGGCAGCTTTGTTATATCTTTTGCCAGATATAAAGTAATAATACATCATTTTGGCATTGTTGTGAAAATTGATTTGCATAAATGAAATGTAATGTTTAGATAACTCTAATGCTATTCATTACTTTCCTGTAATAACTGGTATCACACATTTTTAGGTAAAAGGAATAAGTTTATTGTCAACAGAACAAAACAATAACGGGTCTTCTTGACTTTATTGGGGAGGGTTAGAATCACACGATCAGAGATACCTGAAATGAGAGTTGGCCTATAGATGGCCTGGAATGAGTTGATAGGAGACGTAATTGAAAACGGCTTACTTCAGGGTGGTTTGATGAGGCATGGGAGAAAGGTGCCCAGGGTCCTGTGCGAGGAGGGAGGTGACAGAGAGCCAGGAGCTTGTTGGAAAGGGGTGGAGATGGGAAATACGGCAGAGCAGGCAGGCAGGTACTAGCAGGTGGGTCCAGGGGAGGGGAGAACAAAAAATTGATACTTGAACAAAAACCTAGAGGCAGCAAACACAGAGACCAAAAAACTTCAGGTAGGCTCAAGGATAAATCTTGAGTAACAAGTATTGGAGAATTGTGAGGCGCAAAACTCTCAAATATATAGATAAACATAACAAACCACAGAGACGAGTTCTTACTGCCAGCCACGACGGGTCAGGAGATTTATTTACTCTTCTACCACGGATGCATCATTACAAAACATTGTTTCTCAAATCTCAAAGTCTCAAAATCAAAAGTCCCCAAAATCTCTCCGTTCTTTGTCTACAGACATTTATAGCTTCCAATGACGTCGGTTTTGCGTCAAGACTTCTGGCTGCCCATTGACTGAGTGTGTATTGGAATTTCTCCGAATTTCTTACTGACCTCTCATCTGAACATCTGCTCCATATCAGAACTGCAAAACAAGTCAATTAATAATTGTTGTTCTTATCTATCTAAACAGCTTACTTTCCAACCCGAGTTTTGTTCTAACATTTTGTACTTTCCAGATAAAAATAAGGTCAGATCGACCTTTCTGGCGCAAGAAATCTTTTCCCTAAAAAACACCGAGAACTCGCACTAACACACACATACATGCCCCCCCCCCCCCCACACACACACACTCACACACAGGAACCCTGACATAAACAAGTCAGTGACTGACGCTGACTAAAGTGTTAAAAGAAGTGGTTATAAGTGGTCAGTGAAACTAAAGCTTTTCCATGCAAGAACTGACATTTGAATTAGTTATAACCGTGTGACCGATTTGTTCCACAAATTAATAAAGCCTGGAAGAACATATATTTTTTGGAAAATCCCTAATATCGATATTAATATTTTGTAAACAGTTAGATGATAATGTGATTAAATGTGAAATGCTTCCTGCTATATCTAAGGGAAAACATAGTACTTGGAGAAATCACAAACATTCACAGGGTTTGGATCATCGCTTCTTACTCAACTTATCACGAGTGATACACTTTGGCTCAAGTGCTAAAGAACTTAAATTTATTCAAATTATTAAGCTTAGTACTGACATCTAGTGACGGTGAAGCTGAAATGTTTTCCACTAGCTTCAAATACTGCATAACACATTTTGTGTCTCCCATAAAATTTGCTCTCAGGGTTAATTTACTGGAGGAGATTTCAGCAGTAAAATTGGGATTATCTCACCTTACAGTTCAACACCTTAGGCTTATAACACCCTTATATTTTGAACATGACATATGTCAAAACTTTGTTTTTATTAGCTTCAGACCATATGAAAATGGTGTCAAGTCAGATCTGTTACCCACAGCTACATGAGCAAGAAACAGCAACACCTTATCTGTTTCTTATGTTTGCTTCACCCGGCTGATGACCGTTATCCAGGAGATGTTAAAAAATATTTGTCTTATTCAGATAATAAACCACTAAGGACAATAATCATTCACAGATATTATTAGATGTTTAGTCGAAACAAACATCTATGTGGAGTCTATTAGGTCTTCTTCGAGATCCCTTTTTTCAAAAAAATATAAGCATGTGTTGGTACTTTTTTTTTTTTTTTTTTATTCAAAGAGTTTTTGTGGCACTAGTGGTTTGTATTTTTGATAGCAAGCAGACATTTCACCAACAGAATTTTTTAAATTTTTTTATTTATTTATTTTTAATATTTCTTCTGAAAGTCCCAGCCAGAGTAGATTTTAAGATCAGAATTTAAGATCAGAATTTTTAGATCAGATTTAAGATCAGAATTTGGCTGCTTGTGGAGAAATAGTTCCCCTGGCTGTATAAGACAGCAGGAGCTAAAAATACAAACATACATGTATTAGTAGATTAAAAAAATGAGCTATGAACCATGACGAATGGTTGATCTCGCGTTATCGTTCATGCACGCAGCTTTATGAACATTTCAGGAAGTGCTTGACTTCCTCAAATGGTTTGAAAAATGGCTTCGAGTGTCTCGTTTCCATTTCTGCTGCTAGTCTACATGTTTCTAATGCAAGGTAAGCTGAGTTTTTTGTCTGTTTTTAATATTTCACAGTTTAGATTGCTTTAATTCAGTTAAACAATCTTGTCATAAGACATCACTATTAAAAGTTTCTGCCTCGAGGTAAAGGGGAAACGGTGAGAACGTTTGGTCCAGGAAGTAAGAATTTTAGTTCCAATAAAAAAAAGAAATAAGTAAAGATTTGAAATGTTAAACTTTTGTCTACTTTTTTCTCACTGTATCCATGTTTGGTAATTCACAGGTTAGACAGATGAAGCTCAAACAACAAAATATTTGTTTTATGTTTGTCAAAATTTAAGTCTTGTAATGGAGACTAAGTGAGAAGTTGTGCCTGTAACCCATTCCTTCATTCTCCATATCAAAATTATCTTCACTGCGATTTATTTGATTTGTCATCACTCTAATTCTACATATTTATTCTGTTCGATTCAATTCAAGTTTATTTAATCAAGAACAGCACATTAAACAATGTTACATGTTGAAAACAAAGCAACCGTTGTCTTATATGTACTTTTCTAGTCACAAGCTAATTTGCAATTTGAATTCTTGGTAGAACATTTTTTAAAAGAGATTAAAATCAAAGATTTCTGCCACTTTACACTGTATTACAAGTATTACAAGTATAAATACAGTATGTGACTTGCAAAGTACACCAATTTTGATTGTTTTATTTCATCAAATATTTCCTGTCGATTCCTTGTAGACAGGCTGTTACACCTACAAAGGGGATGATTTTTTTACATTAACAATATACACATTTTATGAATTTACTTTAATCCAGTCGATGTACTTGATAGCTTTGTACTGATCTTAATTCTGTTTGGAATTTTGTTTTGTGTTTTTTAGGTTCCTCTGCAGTGACTGATGTATTTGTGAAGACTGGAGATGATCTTATTCTTAATCTCACAGCTAAAGTTCCACCAGATGCCATTTGGTCATGGCAATTTAAAAATAAGGCAATAGTAACAGTTATAACTGGTATCAAGTCAACTGTTCAAGAAAGTCACACTGGAAGAATCGAAATTGATGAAAAATCCAATGTCGCACTGAAGAATCTGCAAAAGTCAGACAGTGGTATTTATACTGCAAAGGTTATAACACCTCGAGATGAAGAACTAACTCAATACAATGTTACAGTTCAAGGTAAGTTTTTTTAGAAGTATATTTCTCACATATGTATAACATTTAGTAAAATAGCCACTTCTAAATGAATAAAGAAATTAAGATAACATGTAATCTAATAACTGTCTAAATTTTCTATTTATAATTTTGACATTTATAAATGAAATACATATTCATAAACAGTATAAGCTATAAGTGTGACTTCCTCCCCAATATACAGCACACAGCAGAGACGAGTTGGGTAAATTTCTGTAATGGATGTCAATAACAAAAACACAGTAAGCCTCCCTAGTGGTTCGCCAACTCTGGGTACACAGTAGTTTCCTGACAGACTGTGTCTTACAATAATCATTACAAATGCATTTTTATAACAGGTGATTGTATAGTGGATTTTCATTGATAACAAAATAAAATAAAATAAATAAAATCAGGAAAATAAACATAGACAGCAGTCAAATTTAACTAATAAACTATTTAACAGTAACCTCTAACTGAAACAGAGAACAAACAAACTGACAGACAGGCAAATACAGCAAACTGACAACATAATAAACACACTGACAAACTTAACTGAAAAATAACTGACAACATAACTGACAACATAAATTTCTGACATTTAACATAATTACCTGTAATGAGTGTTCAACAATAACAAAAATACAGTAAGCCTCCCTACTGGTTCGCCAACTCTGGGTACTGCAACAAAACTCCACGTTAGTCTCAGAACACAACCACCACTACTGTTCAGAAAGGAACTGGACTTGATGACCTACCACAGTAGAGTTTCTGACAGACTGTGTGGAATCTGCAGTTCTCTTTTATAGGCAACCAGTAGGGGGCGCCAAAAAAACACTCATCACAGGACAACCATAAAACCCATACTAGCAGAATTTAAACTGAACCATTTCAACTATGTTACATAAGAATTACTTTGCTCTTTGAATTGTACTTCCTGTTGGATTCTGACCTCTCTTTTTCTCTTTGTGTTAAACTGTATAACTTCTTAAATCTACTTCCTCCCACAGATCCAGTGTCTGCAGTTGATCTCACCTTTACCTGTGCGTTCGGCTCCTCCTCCTATAACCTGACAGCGACTTGCAGGACAGACGACTCTTCAATCAGCATCACTGTAAGATGCAAGAATCACACCTGTAACCAGGAGGGAGACGAGGGAAGATTGGTCACCAGATCTGGATCTTTTCTTCACATCTCCAAGTCGATAGACTCAATTGTCTGTAACCATAGCAACCAAGTCAGCAAGGACGAATCCAAACTAAACATTGAGAATCGCTGCAACCAACATGGAGGTAAGACTTTATGACAAAACAAAAACACTTTACACACTGGATTTTAGCCCAGTAGAAAACTGATGGAAGTTATTTTAGTTGTTCTTTAATTTTATTGAACACTTTATTGATTAAATTAGAGAATATATATATTTTAAGCTGCCTATTTGTAAAAGACCTTCCATTTCAAATTAAGGTTTCTCATGGCAATGGTTTTGAAATATAGGTTGTAATATATAGTTTTTGTTTACATTCCTCATTACAACTGAACTATTTCTCTTTCTCTTTTGTCAGAACCCAGAAAATATTATGGGTATACTGCATTGATCCTGCTGGTTTTTCTACTCCCTATGATTTATTTTGGATGTCATAAATGCAAGAAAGGTAAGTTCACATTAAGAGTTATGGTTAGTCAATATCTGTGTAGCTAGTAGCCAATGATGTCTTGCAAAATGTATTCATGTCCCTTTCATATTTTCACATTATATCAAATTATTTGTTGGCTTATGTCATAAACCAACACAAAGTAACCACAATAAAAATTTGGAAGGGTAAGGAAATGTTATTTCTGTTTACATCACAACTCTGGGTTGGTCACAAACATGGGCTTTGAGGAGTGGCAATTATAAAATAATTATTTAAAACAAATTTAATTATTTCAGCCAATAATAGCTCAGGGTGGAGGAGTTCTTCCTGGTTGACAGTTCAAACATCTGGTTTTTCTGTGACAATCCTTGTGTCAAAGACACTTCTACTTTGCCTGTACCCGTAAGTCTATCACATAGTCAAAGTGTGAATTTAGATCAAAGTGTGAATAGTTAATGTAATGTGAAGTGCTTTGGAGTCCTCTGACTTGATAAAACACTATTCAAGTGTCAGCCTTTTATCCTTTGTTCTATTTGGTTCAGTAGGAGCTTCATCTTCCAGCAGGAAAACAACCCTAAATATACAGGCATCAAATAGTTTATTTTAGACTTAAATATTGGTTTAGAGTTGCCTTGTCAAAGTTTACACCTAAATCCAACTGAGAATTTGTGGAGACTTGAAAACTGATGTTCCAACATATGTTTTACCTAAAAACAAATACATGATACTTTTTACATTTTTATCTTTCAGAAAAATATGTAAATAAAAAAATTGCTTGTCATTTTCCTTTTATTGTACAATTAAGTACTACTTTCTAATTTTCAATCTAACAAAATATCACTAAGATACATTGAAGATTTTGGTTATGTGGTACAATTTATACCATAGAAAGCTGCTGTGTATGTATATCTGTGGATTTACTTCAATGTCAACAATATTTACCAGTGATTTAAATTTACAACAGCAGGTTAATGGAATAACTAATTGATCATTTTTCATTTAAAATAGCTCAAAATACTTGTTAGGATGCAATTATTGATTTTAACTAAATTAACAAACGTATCGTTACAATATCTATTCTGAGGATGAGGATATAAAAACATTTTGATAAAATGTAGACATAATTCAAGTTATCTAATGAACCAAAATGGTAGTCAGAACAGGTAATTAGAGCAAGATAAAACAACAATATTCAAGCCAACGCTTTTAAAGAATAAATTATTTCTTTATGTCCAACCAGCAGGTGACAAAGACAACGTTAACGACACAATATATGCTCTTCCTGTGGTAAGTGATGGTATTGCTTCCCTCTGTGCTTAAAAATATATAGTTTAATTTAATAGACAATATTTGATCAAAAGAATCTGTAAAAGGCAGAAAACATTTTTGTAATTTGAAGCATTAAGTCGACTGTGCTATCTACTTCTTTTAATTACAAGTTGAAAACATTTGTTTTTGTAGTATCTCTGTCTGGTAAATGACCCATTTTGGCTTCTGAACCTTTTCCTAAATTAAAGGTTTCTGATTCTCATGGGACAGAATCTCCTTCCCTGTCTGATTAAAATAGTTTGAAACCTTTTTTTCCCCTCCAGCATTAATTTAACCTAAAGATCAGCAGGTGTCAGTAGGATGATAAACAACTAAACATGGACCAAACACTAACTCTAACACCGACCCATGAGGATTGGAATCATCCATTCTCATACTTTAATTGGACAAAAAAACTGCAATTAGTATTTTAAAAGTTGTGGGTCAAATGTGTGTCCCAATGTAAAAAAAATGAATGAAATAATGCAGGAACACAAACTTTAAGTCCTGTTTTTTTCATGAAGCTTTGCTTCTTTTTCATGGTAACTATTTTCTAATGTAGCACAAGCAATTTATTTTCAGCTGCTCGGGCACACGAGCAGTTAATGTATGTAAAAGGTTAAGTGATTTGATGTTTTGTTTAAATTAACACTGAAGAAAACCTTTTCCAGAACTGTTTTCCAGTGTTTTATTGACTGATTATGTTTGTTTTCCAGGTAAATGATCAAACTGAAACATTGAATGAAACACCTGGAGTTGAAGCTGGTTCCCCAACCACCACCTACAGCACAGTCGGACCTTTTATTAGTAAGGAAGGCACCAAGACTAGAAGCAATGACCAACCAGAGACTGTGTATTCACAGATCAATGCTGTGGGAGTGAAGACCTGATATAGTGAGATTATGACATTTTTCCTATGAGAAGACAGGCTGCTGCATTTCCTATAATCTGGAGGTGACTGAGTCCAGCAAATGGAAAATAGCCTATAGAATGTTTTATGTATTTTAAATTGTAAGTACCATATTCTAGACATTTAAATAACTTTCTTGTATATAGATTAACTGAGGGTTTTACAAAGTTAAGGCTTAAAAACTTGGTAAAAGTTTAAGCTTTTTCACTGGGCATCGTTTTGAGCAGAGAAACCAGATAATGTTAGTTTTCATTCTGTACATTATGTATATAAATGGCATGTTTAAAAAAGTAAAAACAGACAGGATGAAAACAGTATTGACGGTGATTGTTGATCGATTTGTATATTATATATTAGTGTTGTGTTCATTTCTACTTAGTCAAATAACTTCATCTGCAATTTTACGGCATTTAATTTAGCTTAGCTTAGCTTATAGTAAAATGTTCATATTAGGCTTCCAGTGCAATTTATGATCTGGTTCATACACTCTTTTTATTGAAATATCTTCTGTGAGTTTCATTAACTTTAAGCATTGTACTATTTCCATACATTTGTATGTTGCTGATAATACTTTATCAACATGTTGTCCAAAAAACTGATTTTGAAAGTCAAGAAATGGTGATTCTGTAAATTCCTTCTCAACCATTACATTTGATGTATTGTCAACCACCTGCATGACGGTCATTTGCTGTGACTTGAGGTCATACTGACAGTCACTCAGTAAATATTGTGTAGAGTTTACAGACAGTGTGAAGTATTCAATGTACAAAGTGTTTTATATATATAGTTTTGTATGAACATTTATGCTACCACTGATCTTAACTTGCCTTTATAACCCCTCTTTGAAAAAGTAAAATTTTTTCTGTTTCCATTTTTCAGTTTGTATATATAAAGTCAGAGACCCATTGAAAAAAAGATTAGCAACTGGGTAAAATTTAAAACCTCAACACAATCCACTCCTCCAGGAAGCAATAGTTGAACAGTGGAGAACCAAAACTCTCTGGATGAAGTAATAAACTCAATTCTCTGCTTTTTCCATAGGAAAAGAATGACCAATAAATCTGCAGCTCTATTAGCAACAGTGTTTTCCTTTCTATATTCACAGCTTTATTTACACTTAGAATAACCAAATGAAGAATCTGATCCAATTCTTCTAAACTATTTAGTGGGACATGCTAATCACATTTTGACAAATTTCACTTTTAGAATAAGTTCAACCCTGAAGAGGGATTAACTTAGTATATATTTTTTAGAATCTTGTATCTGCTCCTCTTTCGTACTCTAATTTTTACTCCTGTTTATATTCATTATTTTAATTAAATATTGTGTAAATACAGTATTGGCTTCATTTGTTTCAGCCTTGATGACAGCCACATATTTTCTTAACATCATATCTTTATGACTTTCAAATTTCAATTACCTCTAACATTCCTTGAAGTCTTAGTACAAAAATGTGTGAGATCTTTTAAGTATAAAGGAGACCTTAAAGTGTTACTATCAGCCAAACCAACTTATTTTTACCAATATAAACTGCTCATCAGAAAGTTTGTTTCTTAAACCACCTGAAATGCTGACAAAAAAAAAAACTAACTGCCCTTTAAATGCTTTCAATGTGGCAAAGATTGCAGATGAGGTTATTCTCCAACTTGTGGCCAGAATAGATTTTCTGAATACAGAAAAGAATCAAAAGGCTGCAAACCTAAACTCTGACAAACTCCAGTCACCACCAGATGGCGAGCTTGGACAGAGTTTGACTTCTGGTAGAGAAATAGTCCCCCTAGTGTACAAGACAGCAAGTACAACAAACACCAATACTGCATATATACAGGTATAGATAAAGAAATGTTTAAGTGAGGGTTAAAGAAATACTTCATTAAATGTTGACAAACACAGATATGATACAATAACTTCTTATTTACCTGCAGCAACAGAAAACCCCAAAACATCACATTAATTTTTCACACACATTCAAACACTAATTTTAGTAACTTAGTAGTCGACTAAATGAAACACAAGTCGTTATTTTTAAAAAGGTGTCATATTAAAAGCTGTTTTCAATATGACAAATGAGCCTAATTGTAACATACTCTAATTTATTCAAGATGACTGAACTGATGACTATATATGGTTTTACTTTTAAATAGTTTTTCATAGTATTCTGTTAACTGCTGTCAGGCTGATGCCTGGAAAAAGATAATGAACTGAATATGTACTTAGTTTCTACTTAAAAAGAAGTTCAGCATCCTCAGCCTCCAGTCAACCAGAGACCCATCCACTCTTATCCCTCAGGAGGTTTGCTCATCTCTATGGGGTTGGAAGTGAAGACGCCATCACACACCTGCTTTCATCATCTTTGAAGTTCATTTAATATAATTCAGCCTGATTTGCTTTGTCAGAAACCCCAGAAGAAGCACTTGGAGGCCTCAACAATTACCTGGATCTATGACTCTCTCACAAACAGATCACAGTTTGAGAGACTGAAGGTGTGCGTGTCTCCCCCGGTGGGTTGCATCACAGTTTAGCGGACTCTCAACATTCCTTTTCACTCTGTACTCCTCAGACTCCAAGCCTAAATCACAGTCTGTCATTTGCAAAAATACTCAGATTAACCTGTAGTTGTCTGGTGCATCATGGACAGTCAGGATGCCAGCAGAAGGTTTGGAGCTCAGAACTGGTAGCATCTGGCACTAAATGCAGAGACTGAATAGACAAAAACCCAACAAGGAAACAAACACGGATGGATTTAAATATCCAGGCTAATCAGGGGAACGAGACACAGCTGGGATCAATCAAGGGTAGCTGGAGACGTAAGGGAACACATTAACCTAAATTAACACACATAAAAAAAAAACAAACACACACATTGATCTTCGTTTTATCTGCAGTATTTTCCTGTTATTCCAGTTTGAACCATCCCAAATTTTATGTAAAACTGTTTCATTAGAGCATCAATAAATAAGACCAGAGCATCTATAAAAAAAACCCATGGGGGTTGTATTTTGTGTGAATGTGTGACAAAAACCATAAAGTGATAAAGGAGCTGCGAGAACTTCCTCTAATGCATTCTGAGAAATGGCGTTGACCGTGACAATTTTAACTTTTCTGTTGCTCGTTTGTGATCTTCAAATGCAAGGTAAATTCAGTGTTTTCTGTTTGTTTTTAACATTTCAAAGTTTTGAATTAATTTATAAAACATCACTCATGAGCCAAGAGGACAAAAGGAGTTCAGTCAAATAAAATAAGAAACATTGTTCAAAGAATAGCAAGAATGCAAACAATGTACTGGTTTTGTTTTAGAGTCAGTAAAGGCCTGTGAAATTAGGATGCAACAACTTGTCTCCAAACAGGGACAGACAGAAAATGTGATTTAATAAAGCAACATCATTCTTGTATTTGAATGTATAAATCTCTTTTTTTTGGACAATATAAAACAGTGAAAGGGTTTTGTAAACAATGTAGAAAGTCAATCTGTTCAGTCAAACGTTCATGAGAAAGTTGTACTGATATCAATTTCATTTAAATTTATTTTCCATTTTTCAGGTTCCTCTGCAGTGACTGATGTGTTTGTGAAAACTGGAGATGATCTTATTCTTAATCTCACAGAAGCTGAAATTCCACCAAATTCTCGCATTTGTTTATGGCAATTCAAAGATGATTCGCTGGTAGAGTTTTTAAGTGGCTCCCAACCAAATGTTATTAACGATCGCTCTGGAAAAGTTGAAGTTATAGAAAAAAGTTACAGTGTGAAATTAAAGGATCTACAGAAGTCACACAGTGGTATTTATACTGCAAAGGTAATATCGCCTAAAGAGCAAATACTGACTCAATATAACGTTACAGTTCAAGGTAAGTTTTTCTGATATTTATATTTGTGTATATTAGGTAGCAGAATAAATAGCTGCCTAATCCCAAATTGATAAAGAAGTTAAAATTCCAACAAGTGTTACCTAATAAATAATCTTGCCAGACCTTTCTATTTGGGTTTCACAGCTTTATTAACAAAATCCATATTCAGTATAACTTGACACAAAACTCTCAAAGAACAATATTGATCTGATTTGCATTCTTTTGGATTCTGACCTTTCATTAATTAGAAAAAAATCTTCTAATGTTCTAAAATGTTTTAAAATAACTTTGTCCCTCAGATCCAGTGTCTCCAGTTGATCTCAGCTTCACCTACACGTCCTGCTCCTTCAGCCTGACAGCGACCTGCAGGGCAGACGACTCTTCCATCAGCATCACTCTAAGATGTGAGAATCAAACCTGGACCCAGGAGGGAGGAGAGAGAAGATTGGTCACCAAATCTGGATCTTCTCTTCATGTATATCGATTACATAAATCAATTGTCTGTAGCCACAGCAACCAGGTCAGCAGGAATGAATTTATTGAAAACATTGAGAATCGCTGCAACCAACATGGAGGTAAGACTTTATGACTAGAAAAGAGCATTTTAATTTTAACCCAGTAGTAAAACTGATAAATGTTTATTTTATTTGTTCAATTATTTTTATTGAATACTTTATTGATTGATATAAATTTTTAAAGCAACGTATTTAGAAATTAAGTCTTTCAATTTCAAATTTGGTTTTGAAATCTATCTTGAAATATACAGCTTTGGTTTACACTCACTAGTATAACTGAACTATTTCTCTCTTTGTTTTTGTCAGAACGCACAAACTGGTTCATTGCATTTATCCTGTCCTTGTTGGTTCTTCTTGTCCTTATAATTTATATTCTACGTCAGAGGAAAGGTGAGTTCAGGTTTACATTACATGTTGTGATTAACCAATATCTGTGTAGCATATGATAAATTGTCTTACAATAGTATTCACATCTCCATTATATTTTCACTTTATGTCAAATTATTTGTGGGGATTTATGTCATAGACCAACATAAAGTAACATACAATTAAGGAAAAGAAAATGTTTTTTCTGCTTACATCACAACTCTCAGTTGGTAATAAAGATGGGCTTTAAGAAGGAGTAGCCTTCAAGGTAGCTTACCACCATCAAAGTGTGAATAGTTAATGTAATGTGAAGTGCTTTGGAGTCCTCTGACTTGATAAAACACTATTATTAGTGTTTATCATTAGTTCTGTTTGGTTCAGGATGAGCTTCATCTTCCAGCAGGAAAAAAAAAAACCTAAACATACAGATACATCAAATGATTCATTTTAAACTTAATTCATGATTTACAGTGGCCTAGTCAAAGTTTAAACATTTGACTAGGTTTAAAGTTTGACTAAGCCAGAATCTGTAGACTTGAAAATTAATGCTCCAATATGTGTTTTACCTAAAAACAAATTCATGATACATTTTGAGATTTCTATCTTTTATTTAAAAACTGCATGTCATTCTCCTTTTATTGCACAGTTAAGTACTACTTTCTAACTTTTAATTTGATAAAATATTAATGTGATAAAATATCATTACAGTACATTGAGGACTTTGGTTATGTGGTAAAATTTATACCATAGGAAGTTGCTGTGTATGTTTATATGTGGATTAACTTTAATGTCAACAATATTTTCTAGTGATTTTTATTTACAACAGCAGGTTTGTAGAATAACTATTTAATTGATCATTTTTAATTTAAAATAGCTCAGACTACCCATAAAGATGCAATTATTCATTTTTAATTTTTTTTTTTTACTTAAATTTAAACTAAACTTACAAACTTGTAATGCTACAATATCTATTTTTAGGATGAGGATGTAAAAACAATTTCTTTATATTATGTAGACATAATTCAAGTTAAGGAATGGATCAAAATGGTAGTCAGCATAAATAAATAGAGCAAGAAAAAAATAACAATCTTCAAATCAAATCTCTGAGTGTTTCTTTATGTCTGACCAGCAGGTGACAAACACAACTTCGACAACAAGGTGGTAAGTGACGATATCGCTCCCATCTATACTTAAAAATATATATGTACTGTGATAATTTATCAGCCAATATTTGGTTAAAAGAATCTGAAAATACCATGAAAATATTTCGTAACTTATAGAATGAGTCAACTGTGCAGCCAGTTCTTTCAATTCGTAGCTGAAAATAGTTACATGTTTAAACTTATATTTGTTTTTGTAGACTTTCTGCTAAATGCCTCATTTTTGGTACTGAACCTTTTTATTAAGTTAACATGTGCATTTCTGATTCTCATGGCCCAGAATCTCCTTCAGTATCTGAATAAAATAGTTTAAAACCATTTTTTGGTCGGCCACTAATTTCTCCAACAGGCTGCAATCATTTAACCTTCAGATCAGCTGGTGTAGTTAAGATGACAAACATGTAAGCATGGAGAACGCTGACCCCTGAGGACTGGATCTGCCGACTGTTATACTTTGATTGGACAAAAAACAAACAAACAAAAAAAAAAAAAACTGCAATTAGCATTTTAAGTTGTGGAGTCAAATGTGTGCTCCAGCATAAAAAACTGCAAATCAATGAGATAATGCAGTAACATGAATGTTTTTTCTTTTTTTTCATGAAGCTTTGCTCCTTTTTTATGCAAACTACTTGTGACTTCAGCACAATCTGTATCTGTTCAGCTGCTCTGGCACACGAGCAGCTAAGGATGCATGTAAAGGTTTAGGGATATTTTCTAAACTCACACTGAAGAAAAATTTTCTTCAGTGTGAAGAAAATTTTCAGTGTTTTCCAATATTTTATTCACCGATTATGTTTGTTTTCCAGGTAAATGAACAAACTTTCCGCTCATTGAATGAAACAGCTGAAGATGAAGTTAGTCTTCCAAACCCCATCTACAATGAATACAACAGGAGCCACCAATACTAGGAACAGTGACCAATGAGAGAGGGTTAAATCCAGCAGATGTCGCCAGGGTCGCCATATTAGGGTTAGGATAAGGAGGATTGGAGCAATCCTTATTACAAATGTAGCAAGAGTTGATCTGTAAAATAACTTTGATAAATATGATATTTTTTGGGTGGTAAGTTTTAGGGCTAACACGTCAGTGAGGTTTATGTTTAGGTCTTCCTTGTACTGCGAGTCATTTTCTTGGAAATCACACATCTGATTTCATATTTCCTCTTCTTTAAAATGTGTTAAGTGGTATCACAATTGCATACTAAAAGTTTGCTACATTTTCTCTCTCTTGCTTTCTGCCACCATTTATTTCCCTTTAAACTCTGACAAAGATGAGTGTCTGTTCTTAAAAAGGAAAACTGGTTACTGGGGCTGGATCAGACAACTAAAGAATTAAAAAGAAATTCTTTATTATTCAAACATAATCACATTATAGTGGATTTTTGCTTTCTTTTTGTTATTCTTATCTTTATGTTTGGAAACACTGGTGGATTTAAATAGGCAGGGTAATCAGGGGAACAAGACACAGAACACAACACATTAACCTAAATTAATACACATAAAAAAAAACAAACACACACATTGATCTCTGTTTTATCTGCAGTATTTTCCTGTTATTCCAGTTTGAACCATCCCAAATTTTATGTAAAACTGTTTCATTAGAGCTTCAATAAATAAGACGAGAGCATCTATAAAAAATGCTATTGTATTTTCTATTTTGTGTGAATGTGTGACAAAAACCACAAGGAAGTGGTAAAGGAGCTGCGAGACCTTCCTCTAATGCATTTTGAGAAATGGCGTTGACCGTCACATTTCTAACTTTTCTGTTGCTAGTCTGTGAACTTCAAATGCAAGGTAAGTTCAGTGTTTTCTGTTTATTTTTAACATTTCAAAGTTTTGAATTTTTTTCAACATTGTTCAAAGAATAGCAAGAATGCAAACAATGTACTGGTTTTGTTTTAGAGTCAGTAAAGGCCTGTGAAATCAGGCTGTAACAACTTGTCTCCAAACAGGGACAGACAGAAAATATGACTTAATAAAGCGACATCATACTTGTATTTGAGTGCATAAATAATCTCTTTGTTTGGACAATATCGAAACAGTGAAAGGGTTTTGTAAACAATGTAGAAAGTCAATCTGTTCAGTCAAACGTTCATGAGAAAGTTGTACTGATATCAATTTCATTTAAATTTATTTTCCATTTTTCAGGTTCCTCTGCAGCAGTGACTGATGTGTTTGTGAAAACTGGAGATGATCTTATTCTTAATCTCACAGAAGCTGAAATTCCACCAAATTCTCGCATTTGTTTATGGCAATTCAAAGATGATATCCTGGTAGAGTTTTTAAGTGGCTCCCAACTAAATGTTATTAACGATCGCTCTGGAAAAGTTGAAGTTATAGAAAAAAGTTACAGTGTGAAATTAAAGGATTACAGAAGTCCACAGTGGTATTTATACTGCAAAGGTAATATTGCCTAAACAGATACTGACTCAATACTTTACAGTTCAAGGTAAGTTTTTCTGATATTTATTTGTGTATATTAGGTAGCAGAATAAATAGCTGCCTAATCCCAAATTGATAAAGAAGTTAAAATTCCAACATGTGTAACATAATAATCTTGCCCGCCCTCTTGATTTGGGTTTATGACTTTTATTAACAAAATCTATATTCAGTATAATTTGAAACAAAACTCTCAAAGAACAATATTGCTCTGATTTGCATTTTGTTTGGATTCTGATTTAATCTGAACAATCTTCTAATGTTCTAAAATGTTTTAAAATAACTTTGTCCCTCAGATCCAGTGTCTCCAGTTGATCTCAGCTTCACCTACACGTCCTGCTCCTCCTCCTCCTCCTTCAGCCTGACAGCGACCTGCAGGGCAGACGACTCTTCCATCAGCATCACTCTAAGATGTGAGAAACAAACCTGCAACCAGGACGGAGGAGAGAGAAGATTGGTCACCAAATCTGGATCTTCTCTTCATGTATATCGGATGGAAGAATCAATTGTCTGTAGCCACAGCAACCAGGTCAGCAGGAATGAATTTATCGAAAACATTGAGAATCGCTGCAACCAACATGGAGGTAAGACTTTATGACAAAGCAAACACACTTTTACACACTTTTGTTTATTTATTTTTGTTGAACACTTTACTGATTACATTAGAGAATATATATATTTTAAGCTGCCTATTTATAAAACAAGACTTTCTATTTCAAATGAAGGTTTCTCATGGCAGTGGTTTTGAAATATATCTTGCAATATACAGCTTTTGTTTACATTCACCAGTATAAAGGAACTATTTGTCTTTCTCTTTTGTCAGGACCCAGAGATCATTACTTTTACTGGGAAATTAGATGGATCTTGTTGGTTCTTCTACTCCTTACAGTTTGTAATCTACATATATATATTCACAAGAAAGGTAAGTTCAGGTTTGCATTACGTGTTGTACATTTACTTTAATGTCAAAAATGTTTGATAGTGATGTGATTTTATGGAATAACTATTTAACTGATCTTTTTAAATTAAAAATAGCTGAGAATACCCGTTAGGATGTAATAATTAATTTTTAAGTTACGTTGTTTTAAACTTAACTTAAAACTAAACTTGTAATGCTACAATATCTATTTTTAGGATGAGGATGTAAAAACAATTTCTTTATATTATGTAGACATAATCCAAGTTAAGGAATGGATTAAAATGGTAGTCAGCAAAAATAAATAGAGCAAGAAAAAAATAACAATATTCAAATCAAATCTCTGAGTGTTTCTTTATGTCTGACCAGCAGGTGACAAACACAACTTCGACAACAAGGTGGTAAGTGACGATATCGCTCCCATCTATGCTAAAAAATATATATGTACTGTAATAATTTATCAGCCAATATTTGGTTAAAAGAATCTGAAAATACCATGAAAATATTTTGTAACTTATAGAATGAGTCAACTGTGCAGCCAGTTCTTTCAATTCGTAGCTGAAAATAGTTACATGTTTAAACTTATATTTGTTTTTGTAGACTTTCTGCTAAATGCCTCATTTTTGCTGCTGAACCTTTTCCTTAAGTTAACATGTGCATTTCTGATTCTCATGGCCCAGAATCTCCTTCAGTATTTGAATAAAATAGTTTAAAACCATTTTTTGGTCTGTCACTAATTTCTCCAACAGGCTGCAATCATTTAACCTTCAGATCAGCTGGTGTAGTTAAGATGACAAACATGTAAACATGGAGAACGCTGACCCCTGAGGACTGGATCTGCCGACTGTTATACTTTGATTGGACAAAAAACAAACAAACAAAAAAAAAACTGCAATTAGCATTTTAAGTTGTGGAGTCAAATGTGTGCTCCAGCATAAAAAACTGCAAATCAACAAGATAATGCAGTATCATGAATGTTTTCTTTTTTTTTTTTTCATAAAGCTTTGATCCTTTTTTATGCAAACTACTTGTGACTTCAGAACAATCTGTATCTGTTCAGCTGCTCTGGCACACGAGCAGCTAAGGATGAATGTAAAGGTTTAGGGATATTTTCTAAATTCACACTGAAGAAAAATTTTCTTCAGTGTTTTCCAATATTTTATTCACCGATTTTGTTTGTTTTCCAGGTAAACGAACAAACTGAAACATTGAATGAAACGGCTGAAGATGAAGTTCGTTTTGCAAACCCCACCAACAGCACAGGTGAATCTTCTATGACTGCGGGAGCCACCAGTACTAGAAGCAGTGACCAATGAGAGAATGTGTATTCACAGATAAAAAAAAAACTTCTAAATGACTGAACTGGTGACTTTGAAAAGAACTGGAAGATCTGCGAAAAGTCCAGTGTGATGTGATAAGATGTGGTGAGATGATACCATTTATCCTGTGAAAAGTGATTACCCTGGACAGGGTTTGTAGCTGAGCAGCCAGATAGTTTGCCAGCTAATGTTAGCTTTCAGCTGTGGAATATCTCTGTAATTGTGTAAAGGTTTACTAGTATAGCTTTCAGTCTTGCTGTTGAGGATGAGGCCCCATGCATATTCACCAGCACCACAGGATGTGACATGTTTCCTGTAAGGACCACGTACTGCTAAATATTATAGGGTGGAGCTTTGTAACTATGTCTCATCCAACAGTATCAGAAGGACTCATGCACAAAATTCAAAGTTAGTGTGTTTTGCACTGATCAGTAGCTGATCACACCAAGCTTTAACATTGGTTTCACAAGTTATGTTGCAAGTTTTTTTAATTTTTTTTATGTGAACTGCTGCTCCTCTCGGTTCCTCATTGCTAAATATGTCACCATCACTTCTCTTTTTTATTCTTCAACCAGAAAAAACTGTTATTATAGCTCTCAGTAGAGAGCATCCATTTGAAACTCACAAACACACATATCTACTTATATAATGTATTTAGTACTCACAGTAACTTTATGATGTATAAATTAGACAACTGGTTGTGTTGAATATGCATCAGCAGAGACTAGGGCAATGAATCTCTTGTGTGCACAAATGTTAGACAAGTTTTATTTTAACTGCTTGTTTGCTAAACATAAAATGTAGAGATGAGAAAAAAGCCAAAAAATAACTTACTGTTTTTTTATCATGTATAAAATGGTAATAAATTACACTTTAATTCTTGTTGAAACTTGGTGTAATGAAGTTTTGATTGCCAACTTTAGCAGGCTTCATATGGGCTTTCCAACAAAGTTAATAACTGATTAAGATTTTATCCTGACAAACATAACGAGGTGTTAAACCTTGTAGACAAGGTTTAACAAAATTAACAAAAATGTTGGAAAAGGTCAAACTTGAGTGTTTTTAGGGTCACTATTTTCTTCATTTAAAAACACCTAAAGCCATGGGGTTAGGGTTAGGGTAGGAGGATTGAAGCAATCCTTATTACAAATGAAGCAAGAGTTGATCTTTTAAATATCTTTGATAAAGATGATATTTTTTGGGTGGTAAGTTGAAAGGCTAACACCTCAGTGAGGTTTATGTTTAGGTCTTAATTGTCCTGTGAGTCATTTTCTTGAAATCACACATCTGATTTCATATTTCCTCTTCCTTAAAATGTGTTAAGTGGTATCACAATCGCATACTTAATTAAAGTATGCTACATTTTCTCTCTCTTGCTTTCTCCCACAATATATTTCCCTTTAAACTCTGACAAAGATGAAAAGATGAGTGTATGTTCTTAAAAAAGAAAACTGGTTACTGGGGCTGGATCAAACAACTAAAGACTTAAAAAAGTAAAAAAAGTTCTTTATTATTAAACCATAATCACATTATATTGCATTTTTGCTTTCTTTTTGTTTTTTTTATCTTTATGTTTGAACATCTGATTTTATAAGAGAGAAAGCTCTGTTTTCCAAAGGTTTTCTTTATTTATGAACTTCATACGTATATTGCTACTGCACTTTAATTTCACACACTAGAGGGCACACTTTCACTTTATTCTCAATAGAAAACAATGACTTTAATCAGCAGTAACTGACAAGAGTAATTATTTTATAGCTAGTATCTAGAAACAGTTTTGAGTCTGAAACATTCTTCTGGTTTTCTGAAGTTAGTTGTGATATGAACCTTAAGTTCTGACTTTTGGTGTAAAAATAACACACATCATAGCCAACACAAGCAACTGAAATTGCCAACAGTTCTGGAAACAACACTAAGTTTCTTGTATTTAATCTAATCAGCTAAAAAGTTTGAGCCTGTGTGTGAAGGCGCTTTTCTGTGAGTGAGTCATCTTTCCTGAATAGAAGATCTTTCAGACTGCACACCTTCTGTAATCGTCCTCATCATTCTGCTGGGATTTAAGGAGATGCAGGGAGACATTTGATCACAATGAGTGACTTTGTTTGACTAGAAAGATCCCTTCCTGTGTGTTTTTTATTTAACATAAATTTTCTTGTTTATGTACAGAAACCCTAAACATTTTACATACATAAACCCATAAACTCTTATCCTGGGAATGATGAGTTCTACATGTAGGTCATGAGAATAATTTAAAGCATGACAACTCAAGGGTTTAATGCAAAACCTAGAACACAGAAGCATTGATGGAAACAAAAGTTTTGTTCTTTCTTTTAGTTTAAATTATCTTACTGTAACATAAAATACTTGAAAATTAATTGTATAGTATGTATACGTACAGTTCCTCATTTGCTAACTTTGATTTTGCAAACTTTTTTGTTAAGGCCAATATTAATTAAATTTCTGACAGACTTTGTTTTTTAAGACATATTTTAATTTAAAAACATGTTTCCTTTGACTGAAAGTAAAATCAATGCTTTGAAGGCATCCAGCCAATCTCAGATTAGGGTCATGGGAAGGAGACCTTCCAACCTAAAGACCATCTGGTTAGATCTAAATCAGATAGTTTAGATCTACAGTACCTATGTTGAATACTTGAAGAATCACCCATAACATTAGGATTGATTTTAAAAAAATATTCCGAGACAAATATGTGTGTGATGGGCCCATGCATTATGAAGATGGAAGCATATAAAAGTTTAACAAGGTCATTGGAGTGAAATGATATTGCCCAATTTTTATTTCAGAGTCCTCTGCATGCATCATGCACCTCCATCCAGTCGTTAGTAATTCACAGCAAGGTGACATACCTGCAGGTTTAAGGCTTCGGGAAGAACTCATTTAACTTAATCACAAAATGAATTGAATATTAGGATTACATCATGGTGGAATTACCAAGCAGGCAAAGCAGACAGACGACCCCGAAGCCTTGGCGCTCGTGGGCTGCCCTGAACCCCGAGCTTACTAAGGATCAGCCGTTTCAAATTAATTCTGCTAAAACTGGAGGGAGAAGATTCACTAATAAAATCAATGGCTGACAGGTTAAAGCCTCCAGCTGGGCCAAGAAACTTTTCAAAGCCAGAATCGCTCAAGCTGTAGAGAAATGTTAAAAAATAAAAATCTATTGTTGCCTAAGTCAGTTTAGTTCATTTATATAGCTGCTCTTCACAGTAAATATAGGCAGACAGATTTCATTAATGTTTAATTATATAGAAACCAGTTTACAGTCAATTCAGACCAATCAATTAATCCCAGTATAATATAATATATACTCAAAACTCAACCTAAACAAACCCATGCTGTCTCATTTAACCCAAACTTCAGATGATGTTTGTACTGGACTCTGTTAGAATCTACAAACTGAATCTTTATTTTTTATTTATTTATTTTAAATAAAAATGTGTCACATCTTTAACACTACACAGAAACATGCAACATTTATTTAAATAAATGCAGAATTCAAATATCTTTGCACTTATGTGTGATCAGTGACCACTAAGTGCATTTTTATATTACAGAGTTATAACTAAAGCTCCAGAGATCTTTTAAAATTATTTTTGGTTGCTCACATAATAATGACTTCCCTGAAGCAAAAACAAGTAACCAGACCAAATACAAGGTTTTGTTTTGTAACTATTGCATTTGAGGACATAAATAGATTTTAGGTTTCAAAAAGCTAAATAGCTTCTATATTTTTGGAGAGTTTGAGGCTTTTGAGTGTTTTTTGCAGAGAATGAAACTTGGTCTGCTGCTCATTAGCACAATTAGCAACTCAACCAATTTCAAAGCAGCAACTCAACATATCTGGGCCTCTATCATCTTGCGGCATCAATGGTGAAAACAACTTGTTAAATTCAAACTGAGCTTCAGGATGAGGAGAAAATCAGTTTTAAGAGACTTTGAACTTGATGCTAGTGCAAAAATTTTAGAAACTGCTGATCTACTAAATGCACAAAACATCAAATATTAACACAGATGGGTTGCAGAGTCAAACAATAATACCCCAATAACACTTTTTTTCAGATAAAAAGTATCTTTGTGTTGACTCCTTTCAACACTAAGAAGGGAAGCTCTATTTCTGAGACATTGGAGCTTCTGAGCATACCACACTGCAGAGGAAACTCCTTTTAAACTAACCTAGTAAAAATGGCTACGCCTAGCTTCAAACAGCTATTGAGAAATTATTGCTTATCAGAGGTGTGTTGAAATTGCCTGTGCTGTAAACAAGCAGCTCCCACCGCAAAGAGAGAAGTGTTGATCTGAACAAGACGGTGGTTGTTGCTAATTCAACATGACGCTTCTAAAGCTTCTTGCACTTCCTGTTGCTAAAATTACAGGCAGACTATGATTCTAAAACAGTGCAGAAAGTCAATGTCATTGTTCTCAACTATTCCTATTCACTGATCGCCCCAGTAGAGAAATTCTTGTAAATAGGTGAGAACCCAGACTGACTGTAAAGGGAGATTTGAATCAAGTGGATTTGCACAGGAAGGCAACGATCAGGCTACATTTCAGCTGCTTCTGTCTGAGATCTTGTTCTGTCAGACCTGATGATCCATGATGGGTGAAGATTAAAACATATGTAGATGGACTTAACATCTTTACATTTGTGTCCTGCTGATTATGAGGAAATACACTCATGATCAGCTGGCAGCTGATAAAAATAAACTTGTTTATATATGCAACAGTTTTTTTTTTTGGTCTACAAAAACATAGCTGGGAATAATATTCTAATTGATTGACTTTATTAAATCAGATTTGCCCCTCGAATCAGAGTAGACAGGATGCATAATGAAATATGATTCTGTGTTGGTGTGACCTTCTGCTTCCTGATGAAGGTGCTTTGGGTGGGTGGGTGTGTGTGATTTTTAATTCAACTTGACAAGGCAAATATTTAAAGATTGACTTATTTAAAGATTGGAAATAAAAATTCTGAAATTTTTCAGTGAGCATTTCTTTTATATTTGCTTATTTTGATCAGTTTCATCAAAGGTTTTTCTATTAATCTCTATAAAAACAAGCCAGTTAATTAACCCTCATTTGTAATCAAGTCATATTCGATGTGTCTGTCTCTTTCCATCTGTCCCTGACCAAACAGAACCCATCAGCACCGACACGTCAAGGACGTCTGTTATGAGTCCCATTATCCTCCAGATCAGTAATAAATAATTTCCTCCATCCTAATTCGACCCTCATCCTGCATCCTGCTCTCCAGCCACAGGGTGGCAGCAACAGCAAGCAAACAAAGGAATAACCCACACAATCTGCTTGACAACTTCTCTGCCTGTAGACAAAGCCTGTGACATCATCTGCGGAGGGACAGAGGGTGTGCGAAGGACAAATGTCTTGAAACGCATTACATCATTTTCCTCTAATATGATAATATATCTCAAGCAGCGAGAGCCGTGCCAAACATGAGAGGGGCCATAATCCTTCCAACAGCCGCCTCAAATGTGAACAAGGGGATGAAATAAAAGAGTTGGAGGAAGAGGAGGGGGAGGAAGAGGGGATCCACAGGGCAGCGATGAAGGTTATTCCAGATATTACTCCTCAACGAGAATGGAAGGAAAGAAAAATGATAATCAGAAGTTCACACTAAGTGAAGTGGAGTTCTGCCCCTTTCTTCTGTCCTTGTCCTTTTATCCGGTCATATCTGTAATTTCTTCACTTGATTTTTTTTCTCTGCTGTCATTGAAAGAGAAAAGAGGGTAAAGATCACACCGAGGAAAGTGAATGAGATTATGATTCAAAGAAATAAACTGAAACGATGGGACAAGAGAAAGGAAAAAAAGATGTAGAGGGATGGGAGGGAGGAAGATAAATCAAAATGAAAAATGTGAGGAGAGAAGGAAGAAGATAACCAGCTTTTATGGAGGGCTATAAATGAAAGATTAGAGAAAAACCTGAGGAAAAAGAAAGGAGGTGAAGGTAACTGAGGAGAAAACAAGGACAAGAATGAGAAGGAGAAAGGAACGAATGCACTCATGATCAAAATACTCAGACCAGGGAAACGGTTAGAGAAACTTTCATTCGACATCAAAATGAAAAAAACAAGAGTAAGAGACAAATGAAGAAAAATCAAAAGGATAATAGACATTTTACTGAGAATTGAATTCAAACAGGCTGTCCATGATTCTGCACTGCAAAAACAAAAGCAAGACGTTTTGTCTACATTTTAATGCAAATATTTTTAGTTCATTTAAATTCAGACAAAAATAACTTAAAAGCAACTTTTCAGCAAGATAAATGAACTGGTTTTAAATCAGTATTTCTTGAACAAGCAGTATTAGTTTCACTTAAAACGGGAAGAACATCTTTATAAATGAATGACTGTCAATGGAACTAATAGTTTAAAAAATGTATATAAGAATTACTGACTTAATACAGGCTTATTTACGTTGCTGAAAAGTTATATTTAAGTCAGTTTTGTCTTATTTTTCACGTTCTATTACATTTGCACTGGAAACCAGACAAAACACTTAAGTTTCCATAAACTACTTCAAAACAGTGACTATGAACATATCTGAAAATATGTCAGGAAAAAAAGTGAAAGTGAAACTAAAAAGACTAAACAATGATTTATAAGGGCAGGGGAGTTAAAAGGAAGTTTGAAGTTTAACAGAAAGAAGTTAAAACAGAGGAACAAATTAAGGTTGTACAATGAAAATGAGAAAACTGGATGAAAAAATAGACATGGAGTTAAAGACAGAAAGCTTGAGAAGTTAGCAGAGGGCAAAGGAGAAAGTCTGAACGAAGAAAACAAAAGGTTAGAGAGAAAGATGTGAGAAAAGTGAGTGAGAAGGAAGTGAGAACAGAGAAGTGACAATGAGAAAGGTGGGGGTGAAGCTGAGGAAAAGTAGGTTAGAGCTCCTCTAATGGATGAAAAGCGGTACAGAAATTTGAAAGCGTCATGAAAATGTGGCAAAGTGAGAATCTGTACTGACATGCAGACGCCGAAGAGGTGAAAGAGTGAGATGAGAAGATGCTGGAAGCAGAAAAACCGATGTTTTCAGGAAAACCCTGAAAAGTGACTAAACAAGAAGAGACAGAGACGGAGAGAAGGTTGGAGGAAACTGGAGAGAGAAAATCTAAAAATATTTTATAAAAAATGACAGATGGCTATTAGAGAAAAAGAAAGCAGTCCTTCAAGACAAAGGAGACAAAAAATGAAAGGAACAAGAGAAACTCTGCAGGTGTTTGTTGTGGCTTTATGAGCTGAGCTCAAATTCAGGGAAACGGCTTTTTATTCTTCTTAATACTTCTGTGCTAAACTTAGACACACTTTTACATTCTCCTTCACTCCGTTCAGCTCCAGAAACTCCTAACAATGTGTTTGAGTGCAGTCAGCCTGACCTGAATAAACTTCATGTGAAATACAGAAACTTTGATCACAAACATGCTGTGGGCAAAAGTTTTGATACACCCAGAAATCTTGTTTTTCACAAACTTTACTGCGTCGGTGTTGCTATATCTTTTTGTCAGATGTTTCTATGAAGTAATGAAGATTGAGATTTTTAATAAATCTCAAAGGCCTTTATTGAAAAACTCACAGTTCTGTGAAAAAGTACTAATCCAGCCATACAGGATGTGGACAGAGTATTTGACTGGTTGATTTCAGCTATTCTGTCTTTGTTGAGATAAAATTCTTAAACTAACAACTTCCCAGCATCTTATTTCAGGAATAAAAAATTATATATTTGTCTGGTAAGTTCATTATTCTATCGTCTAATTTAGCCACAGAATGAGTTCATTAGTTGCGAACTGAATAAAAGACTTTTGCAAACTTCTTATGAAACTGTGTCATCTTTTATTTTCTTTATATTGTGAAAAAATAATTACATTGAATTTGAAGAAAAACATGACAGAAAACGTGAAAAGAAAAAACAATATTTCAGTATCTCGTATGTTTTCACACATTTTTTTCGGAACAAAAACGATATACTAGTACCGAACAAAACTTAGTTCACGTGAACAATATATAGGGATACAAATCAAGAACTGGAGAATGAAGATTATATACGGTTGATTGAACTCACTCATTATCTGCCTCATAACCGTCTCCGTCTCCACTTCACGCAGTTTTAAGTGCAACATGGATTCTTTCTCGCTGTAGTGATAATCAGACACTCAGCAGCGTCAAGCAGAACATCATCTTGTTCCTTCATGCAGAGAGCAGACAAGCTCTGCAGACAGATAAGCAACAAGCTTTCTGTTCTGACTCCTTACAGGCCAAACATCTGTCCACCATTCAGCTAGGGTTTGACTGACAAACGGTACAACTTTTAAAACTAATCACGGTTTGTTTGTTTTTTTATATCCCTAAGAAATCAATATTATGATTCGGCTCTTTTCCTAAAATTAAAATGAGAGGAAAGATCATTAATTTGAAAAGTCTAAATTAGCGCAATTTACCAAAAACACCTGATAATTCAGCAAACATCAAAATATTTGGTCAAGACAAAATCCAGTTTAAGTGTTAAAATCTGCCAGACTATCTTGGGATGAAGGTTCAATTCTCTATGCAGAGATACGAGAGCCAACATGTGGTTTATTTAACTGAATTAATCAGAAATAAAGTCCAATAAAGTATCCTCCTCTGACAGGCACTTCAAGCACTAGGCATGCCGATGTGAGTGACTCTTCGTCAGTTCAGACAACAGTTTATTTAGCATTTTCATCAGTAAATTATGCATTTGCATAGCATTTATCTCAAGTCCAGAGCAGCAGTACATATGGGGACATTTTAAGAAAATGTCCCCATTAAAAAAAAAAAAGACAACCTACTAGGTTATGTACTTATTTGCAGGTTCAGGTTTACAGTTTAATCTTTGTCATAGTTTTCTAGACAGTGCTGTCAAAGATTTAGATGTTTGTTTTGTGTTCTTGTTATCTGCATCACAGCCAAACAGTGATAGTTGTTAGTTGTTGGCATCAGTTTTGTCTTGCATCTAAATGTAAGTGAAAAAAAAAAAAGTTTATTAAAGCTGGAGTACAAGGAAAAGAGCCAAATCATACAGGCTTCTTCTGTTAAAAATAAGGTTTATCATATGAGATATTGAACAAAAACTGTACTTAAAGCAACAATATTTCACCCAAATAACATTTGAGCTGTTAAAAATTACACTTAGGAGGAAAATCTGCATTTTCAGGGTCTTTATCCCCGAGGTCAGGAATGGTCTCCTTCATACCCGCAGGAGTGACTGGCCAACATATGAAATTATCAGTCAAACCATCATTTCTTCTCTCCACTGGTCCAAACATGTTTGGGTTGCATACTGCCCACACACACACACACAAACGCAAACACACACGCATGCATCTTTAAAGTTGGACATGGAAAACACACGTGTCTGTCTGAATCCATCCACACATAAAGACACAGTCAGAGTAAACACAAACTGCTGCTGCATTTGCATGTCTGCTCAGTTGATGGGTTTTTTTGGCACTCACTGAAAGGTTCACACAGTAAAACTGGATGTCAAGACTCTGCAGACAGTCTGGGTCGGCCCAGCTCGGCCCAGCTCAGCCCAGCATGGGTCTGGCCCGGTCCTAGTCTGGGTTGGCCTACTTGAGACCATCCACAGGCTATTTCTAGCATGACCGACAAGTTCTTTAGGCCACAGATGTTCAATACCCAACTTTTTTCAAAAATGAATTGATTAAGTGGATCAGAACCAACAAAGAATGTTTTACAATGCGAAAGACACTTTGGACCAGTTCTTTCTTCAACTGGTGATGTACCACAAAGTAAATACAAAACTTGCACTTATTTGGCTAAAATAAAAATAAATCAGAGAAACATTGAAGTGAATATTATGAACTCATGAATATTTATATATTCTATAAAACAGACACCAGAAAGAGAAGCAAGCTAAAAAGACATACCGACACTGTACTGTGTGATAGTGCGACTAAATGACGGAAGTCTGGAAGAAAGCAACAAGAGAGGTTTGCGATATTCATGTGATTTCATTCTCTGTTTTGACTTTGACATTTGGAAGCTGGCAGATGGCTTTTAATTTGACACATGGCAGCAAGTTTGAAAGAAACCATCGGCACAAACTACACAGAGAAAAACACAGAAAAAAAACACACACGGAAAACAACCTAATGAGGTAAAAGTATTTCCTTCAGATTCAGCTACGGTTTGATGCTGTTTTCATGTAGTAAGACGCACCTGCAGTTATTTTTCCACTGCTGTACCCTAGCATAGGCCATGTGTGTTTAACATTTTATGTGAACTGTAATGTCAACAGACTGTCACCACAGTTAATACCCAGATACCTGCATGAATTGGCTATGCGTGCAGCAGCCTCAGCACCTTCTCCGTCAAATTCACTCATCCTTCCGCACGGTTGTAACAAGATTGCAAGCCAGATGCAAAATACTGCTCAGCTCCAACTCTGTAAAAAGGTTGTAAATAGATTACGGTGCGCAGTTCCACGGGGGTGATAACGGTTTAAGATTTTAAACGCAGCTCCACCTGCTGTTCTAGCCCAGCTGAAATGGTTTACATCGTGACCTTGGAGCTACGAGGTTGCCTCTGAGATACAAATCGGCGTGGGTGTGGTTTTCTTTCTCTGCCTTTATAGAAAACAAGAGCTGTAAACACATTTTTATAGCCCCTCTGCAGACAATTACCATAATATACCATGAAGGGTTGATGGGGCGACTGATAAATATAAACATTCAATGATTACTTCTGGAATGGCTGATAGCCTCTGCAGCCCGGGGTCTTATTTAATGCACAATCATTTTTAACTGCTCCAAAATGTAGAATACAGATACAAGTGAGTGACTCCTTATTGCTTTCTGCGCCTTTTAAATTTACCTGCTCAGTGAAGCGTGCAGGATGGGAACTTTTGGAAAGGTATTAAATGAAATCTAGAATCTATTCCTGATGGGTGCAATAGAAATGCTTATTGTCTTCATGTTCGTCCAGAAAAGAAGCAAACTTAATGCAGTGGAAGCTCATGACATGAGGATTGTGATTATTGACACACTCTTCTTGTATTCCACTAAAACAAATTCTTGTCGACATAAAATATGATGTTTTGAGCTGGTATGACAATGAAGAGAGCAGTTTAATCGAATCTCATTAAGCTCCGAGTGCAAACATAAATAACTTCAATCCACTGGGGGAGAGAGGACTTTTTGGCAAAAAAAAAAAAAAAAAAAAATCAATCTGTTTTTCATTAGTTTACAAAAAGCTTAAATGCTCTAATATTAAACCTCGGGGGATTAATAGATGATATAAGAAACTATAATAAGAAATACCTTGATCCGTTTGAGACGACACCAACACCTCACTGAGGTGTAAGATAATTGCAATCCAGAGATTTTTGCTCAGAAATCAGGGTCATGTGAAAAACTTAATTTAAGTACATTTAAACAGAGAAAAATAATCTCACACTGAGAAATAATTATTTATTTGTAAAACATTGTTACTGCACTTTTCAGATTTTTCCTGAAAAATAAGACAAATATTTTTTTTTATGGTGTCTGGGGTTATTGAAGTATTTATCCGTAACCTTTTCATTTTATTTTACGTCAGATATAATTATGACATCACATGCAAACTCTCCTCAAAATAGGACTAAACCTTTAGACCCAATAGTGCTGCATAAGCATCCAAGATTGTCTTGTCAACATGTACAACAACACTATGGGAGGTAAAAGGAAAAAAAAAAAATCTCCACAATAAAGGAAACCTAAGTGGCGTTTTGTTGTTTTGGGGACATGAAGGAAAACATGTTTCTGTTTCTGTCCTACCATCACAAATGTCAAAATGCAGAGTTTGTCAAATTATTTCTCAGTGCTGGATATTTTTCTCTCAGGTAATAAAGGTACTCAAATTAATAAATGGATTTTTAAAATATTTCCAAACTGAGATTATACCACAACAATTAAAATATGCCTTTATAATTAGGCTTTTTACATATCTTTACAAGGGGATCTTTTAACTGTAGAGGGCGCTATATGTTTAAGCTGTCTCTACAGTTATTAGCTTAACATCATTGAGCACAACTTAGAGGAAGGAGAGGAACTTGCATGATTTATCCCCTCAGATTTTCAAGTTTCGAGTACTAAGTTCTGCTTCGAAGGCCAGATCTGCACACCAAAACCTGACATGATACGACAAAAAATCTCAGACATAAGACACCAGCAGAGTTTCTGTTGCAGAGAAAAAATCAGCATACTTACAAATAGTACAAAGTACCATATGAGCTAGATAGAACCCTCTCTACCTCACTTTGATATGTTAGACTACATTTAAACCTCGCTGCTTCTCAAGTTGGCAGGGCAGCTCCGATCGAGCAGCTTCTCGCTCCAAGCCCGTCATTTTGAATGTCGTCACCAGCTTTAGAAAAAAGGCAGTCCAGTCAGAAGACAGGAAGTCAAAGAAAGAGTTTCACGCCAAACAAATATATCCATAGCAGGTATAAGCTGGATACTTGTTATTTTGAGGTGAAGCTCTTTAGGTTTTCTACGTTAAGCCAACAACATTAAAAACCGTTTCATTTTAAAGGAACTCGGGCCTTTTCCGACCGTAACGCCGCGTTACACGTTAAAAAGTGAGTGTCACCCAAAATGCTGAACCTTTGGTCCACAACTCCTTATAAAAATATTATAAAATGTTTCTGAATGCCGTCGTTTTTTTTTGTTGTTGATTTTTTTATATGCTTCAGTATAAATATGGAAAAAAATCTATTCTACTGTGCAAGTGAGAGAAACATTTTTTTTTTGAAGATAGGGGAGGTATCTTTTTGCACAAATTGCAGAAATGTATAGAATGTAAAGGCGCTCCCACCACACCTTGTTTCACAAACACTATCAATAGCATCGACTTTAGGTGAAATGTTAGGTATAGAAATGGATGATGATGACAGAAACACAATACGAGGAGGAGAAGGAGCAAAGAGACGCTTGCTACTGCTCCGTTCGTCTTGTACACCCGGAGCACCTTAACGTCCACGGTTTCAAAAAGAAAAGATACCATTTAACTTTTGTGTGTTGGCACATAGGAACTTGCAATCTGATCGCTCCAGACGAACTGTCCCACTCAAAGCAAGGTAGATCTTGTAAGAAAAAGACATTAATGAAAAGTGCCAGCTATGTTTATAGTCCAAGCTGCCCCTTTGATGCATTTTTTCTTTAACGAAATGTGGTTGTATGTTTGGATTCATGTTCAGCAATGTAAGTCAGAAAATGCAAAAAGTGTGGCTTGCTGAGAGGTTTGCGGTTTATATATTTATACAAGAAATATAACTTTAAAATGGCCCAAATTTCACATTATTTACAGAGACAGGAGGGTGTGAGGGCAGGTGGTCCAAGTTGGCAAAGTGCTCTTCTTGTTCTTCTTTTCATCTCCTGATTGTGAATCTCGCTTTTTCTTTTAGTTGATGGGCAGCCACAGCAAACAGGAGGCCTGTGTGAATCAGGGTGAAGATCACTCTGCATGTATTGCTTCTTTCCTAACTGTTGGGGAGTCATGTTGTTGTGATTGCAATGGGGGACGGATTGTTGAAGATCCATGCACAGATCGGGAGGAGTTGCACAGGATGTGAAAACGCTGCTGATGCCGAAAGCAAATCCAGGAAAGTGCGTCGGCCTTTCCTCAAACGTGAGTCTGCATTCGCTGCGTGTGTCTGTGGGAATAGTCAGACGGTGGGGACGAGTACGAGAAGCGAGTGGAGCTCCCGTACTTTGCCAAGCCTGTTTCAGGACTTTGCTGACCCGTTCCTGGGCCCGACCCGGTCCCCTGTCCCGTCGGATACATCTCATAAGCCGGCCCTTCCTCTATGGTAGGAGCGAAGCCCATGCGGTAGCTGGGATACTGGGAGGGATATCCGTAGCTGTCGTATGGCATTTGGGTTGAGCTGTCCAGCAGGCCACAGTCTCCTCCGGGGTAATCTCCGGGTGAAGGGAGAGCAGGATTTGGAGGAGCTTCCTGCCTCTGTGCCGCCCTAGAGAAGGTGTTGAATTGGGCGTAGGTAGAGTGGGACATCCGGGAGGGCGGGCGAGGGTCATAGCAGCCTGCCCTGGAGCCTGGCACGGCGCTGGGAGGAACTGCACCGCTGACCGCAGCTGAAGGTCCGCCGGATGTGGCGCCGCCTGGCCCGGTGTTTGGGTTTGGAGGGCGAAACTCTCCCTGGTAGTGGACGACACGGGACTGGGGCCGCGCCTCATCGTGGGTGGTGGCTCGGACGTTGTAGTAGCCATTAGTTGGATCCTGTGGTGAGATTTATCAGTCGTCAAACAGGGAAAAGCAACTCTAATCTGGTTGTTGATGGTGTAAAACCCTTTGACCTGCCTTGTTGTGCTATAAAAATACATTTTATTTGACTTTCCCTATAAATTTTAGATGTTCCAATTGATGATTGATTAACAGGCTTTTCCTGAATAGCAATCAAATGAATCAAGAAAAAATGTGCATGTTTGTTTGAATGTTTTAATGACGCAATGGAACAATTTTTAATGTTTTTATATAATTTTAGAGAAGTAACAGTTTGTAGAATGTCATGCAGATATAAAACTTAATGGCCCTCTCTCTCTAGATACATTTTAATGCCATCATTTTTGTATTGCCCTGTTTCTGGAGAATGTTCTCGTCCACAGATAGTTACAAATACTGCTTCTGCATAGACCACAAAGGGAAAACTTTTATAAAAATTTCCAATAAACTAAATATTTATTCATATTAAGCTTAGCTGTTAAAGGAAAAGAAATGATGTACTAGACTGCAGAATCATTTTTGGCTTTAAATATTTAAGGCCTATTTTGAGAAAAACCTTTCTATGAAACAAACACCGATAAGGGGGTTTTGTTTCCCAGCACAGTTTAAAAAGTCATGATAAATAAAAGTTTTGTTGTTGCAAACAGGAACCTTTCAACCAGTTTTGAAAACGCTGTGCTGCAGGAAAATCAAGACCTTACAGGAACTGGGAGATGAACTTGACCACAAAGCTCATGCAACATGCAGGAAATGATGCCAAAGATGCTGCAGATAATTGTTTTCCTGAAAACCTCTGGAGTCAGCACATGAAAGCCCCTTCGCTGACTCATCTCACCTTGAGCTCGTACTCCTCCCGCGTGTCGCTCTCGCTCCTGATCTCCTGCTTCAGGTCCATGTCGTCTTTGAATGGCTGAGTGGAGGGAGAGAGGGAAACAGAGGGCAAAAACTAAACCATCAAACAACGAAACACACACACGGAAAGAGGGAGGGTGAAGAAAGGAAAGGAAGAGGACGACAGGGAGGGAAGAGGAAAACAGAGTTTCAGCTTTTTCATCCCAAGAGAGTGAAAGACGAGAAACGGTTCGAGTCGTGGGGAGAATAAACGCTTCTGGGTCGCGGTTTGAAACCTTGTCATAGGGGCGCCGTCGATTAGATTCTCCGGTTCATCCACGGATTTTCTAAAAGGAGCACAATGTTAAAGTGAGTGTGTATTTTTGATTGAATGGGTTTATGTTTGTCTTTTATGTCATCATGGGAGCTTTAATGGGCACGACAGCAAATATGTTGATGACATTAAACAGTAACAGAAGTATATCTTGTGAAGTAGTAAATTGCACAAGTACCACATTAGTATGCAAATATGAACGTCATATCAGAGAATTTTAATATGTTTCCCTTTGCAGTGCTCCCCCATCTACTTCTGGTTCAGGATTCACAAATTAGCTAGAATGAGGAGTTTTCTCAGGAACATGACTCCAAATGATTTGTGGAATTTAAAAGGAGTTGAAAACATTTTTAGAAGGTCTGTAACTAATGCAAATATCAGAATCTACTGTGCATTTAAAGTATTTTATTGAAGTTGCTGGGAAGTATTGCTTGCATTTGTGTATTTTATTATCTCTGCCTTGATGCCGATAAATAAATCCAGTTATTTTTGGAAGGTTTGTTGGAGAACATTAGTGAACAAACAGCGTCATGAAGACTGAGGAGTACAGCAGACAGGTCAGGAAGTTCATTGTGGAAAAGGACAAGGAGAGAATCAGTCAAACAGGCAGCCAAGAGGCTTATGGTGACTCTGGAGGAGCTGCAAAGATCCACAATTCAGGTGGGAGAATCTGTTGACAGAACAACACTCTTTAGTCGACACCCTTCAAAATCTGGTCTTCATGGAAGTGGCAAAAAGAAAGCCACTGTTAAAGCCTACAGTCACAACCGGTGATGGAGGTTCACCTTCCACATGGAACACAGCTCCAACTATACAGCTGGAGAATGGCCTAGTCAAAGTCCAGATAAAAACTCAGTTGAAAAGTGCTTTTTCATTCCAATTCCGGGGAGCTTTTGAAAGAATGGACCAAAAGTTTCATCTGTAGATGTGAAACGCTGGTAAAGATATTTTCGACAAACACTTGCAGGAAAATGAGGAACTGTAAAGAGGTTACATAAAAATGCATGCCACATTTTCAGACTTTTATTGTTACAAAACATGAAGCCATAAATTTTCCTTCCACTTCCCAATTAAGCTCTACCTTGCACTGGTAAAATCTCCCAAAAATACGTGAAAGTTTTATTTTTGTTTTATTTGTTGCATGCAAATTAATGTGAATATTTTCACTGTATGTTTTTTGAAATGGGGTCGTGTTTCTTCAACAGAATACTTACAGTATCTTTGTGTGACATTTAAGATTATTTCAGCTTTCAGTTTTTACTTAATGTGTGTGCGTGCTTGTGCGTGCGTGTGTGTGTGTGTGTGCGTGCGTGTGTGTGTGTGCGCGCGTGTGTGTGCGTGTGTGAGCCCCTCCTGCCATGTCGCCCTGATTGTCTGTGTATTTGTACATTTAAGGCCAATGACCCGTACGCCTCCTCTCCGCCGCCCCCGGTGACTCAGATGGGAGTCTACTTACGGAGTACATGGCCTTGACCATTCTGGTTGCTGTAGAGACGTTGGCTGCCTCCTCCTCCAGGCTGTGGGTCTCTTTGTTGACCGTTTCTACCTTGATGTCTGGTTTACCGAGTGTGACGCCTCGACGACCTGGGAAAAAATGTTTTACAATATGGTGTAATGTAAACGTTTCAGAAATAATACAACCCAAAAAAGCCTACAGTCGTCAAACCTGTGAAACCTGTGAAAAACCAAACCAAACCGATTTATTTTAGAAGAGTTCTGTTAAAATGCATCAAAATTCTTAAGAGGAGAACAGAGGAGCTTGGAAAATCAAGCTCCTCTGTTTTCTCCCAGTGCTTCCAGTGCTAACTGGAAACAGCCAATCAGACCCAGGAGGAGGGTCTTAGTGCTGTCAATCATCCTCCATGTGGTGCTGTTCAACCTCCACCACTGCTCTCTGCTACTCTGCAGCATCTTCCCGAGTCTGTTGTGAATGCTAAAGCTAGTTAGCATGCCCATTTATAACAGCGGATAAATGGTTTTCCTCTAACAGTATTTTGTTTTTGGTGCATTTCTTCAGACAGCGATAGTCGTTCATGCAGATCAAGCTTTTCACAGATTAACTGTCTCTTGTTACACTGTCAGAATAAAACTGTTACACTGACAGCTTTAAAAAAATATGTAAAAAACTTATAAAAGTTACAGCTTGCAATACATGGATATGAAATGGTTTGTTTATGGAAATGGAAGTAGATTTGAACAAAATGGCAAATATTGGGCACATGAAAGAAATGTCTGATCTAGAGCCACTCGAAAGAAAAACAGAGGCTGAAATTAACTATTTATTTTCAAAATTATACGTTTTCTTTGCCAATTACACACCGAGCATCACATTTTGTTAAAAAAAATCTTCATGACTTTAATGTTTTGTTATTTTGAAGAACTGCTCTTTACAAGTCTACACAAGTGAACGCTCAGTGTTTGCCAACATGAGCAACTCCCTTCCACTGCCAGAAACCTTAAAAGAAAAGATTCCCATCTGTGAAGTCTCGAGTTCCATCGCAGACAACAAACAGGAGACTGTTTATCTGCAGAGACGACAATGTTTGTTTGAGTTTCTCTTTCTGAACGATATCTCTTCTGTAGCCGTGTTTATCAGCTCTGAACCAGAGTACGTACTTTTATCCCCTGAAAATCCCTCTGGGGACTCTGCCAGTCACCTTCAACGTCTTTTCCTGTTTCTTTATTTCCGGTGAAGCAGCTCGAAATTAAACATCTGAAAGCCACAACAGGGCTTTTAGATCTCTGGTTTGACGGAGCGTGGTGTGTGTTCATAATTACTAATTGGATTGCCGCTGGCTGTAGAAATAACACATATAGAAATCCATGATTTAAATGCCATTCACCTTTAAAGGCTTTTGTTTCAGAGCTCTTTATTTATGTCGCTACTTTATCCTGCGTGTGCAAGTGGCAAGAGGATATCAAGCAAGTCAATGTCAGCAAAAGGAAATGAAAACGTAAAGTGGGCGATTTAAGGCCGATTGCCATATAACATGAATATTCATTAATCTCATTTGAATAAAATGCTGTGCGGTTGGCATACGTCATTAACTTCGTGTAACATAAAAATGACAGAGCTGGGGTTGTTGATGAAAGAAAGACTGACAGGCAGAGTAAGTGCGAGCATGTCCATAAACAAACATTAAAAAAAACCAACAACACAATTTTCAACTCACTGCCTTTGCGTTGGCGGTAGAAGAAGAAGGCGAGTGCCAGCAGAATCATAAGCAGCAGAATGGAGGAGCCCACTGTACTAGCGGCAATAATTCCCACTGGAACAATATCTGAAACGAACACAAGCAGAGGAAGGGTCGGGGGTTGAGGGACAGCTGCGGCTTCGCTGCTGCACAAAAACTTAACGAGGATGCTGCTCAGTTTTAAGGGAAAATCCTTTTTGTGTCCTCGCTCAAAGCTGAATCTCTGAGGGCTGGTTATGTTGATAAGGCGCGCTCGTCAGACAAGGGGATGAAAACGTTTTCAGTGGACGTGTATGAAGAATAAATCCAAAACTCTGTCACTCTCTGAGATGTTTTGCTAGATTTTCTAAAGCCTGTGGAATGAAGTGGCGCAGAGAATAATAGCAGGATCAGACTGACAGAGCATGGAAAATCCATTTTCTCCAATATAATGTAAGATCTGAGATTTCATAAAGAAACAGCCACCAAGAAAATATGAGGAACATGCAGTGGGCCTTCTGAGTCACACAACTGCTTAAAACTAAAGTTTTTATTCTTTGCATTATCACAACAGTTTAGACTCAGACTTAATCTTTGATAAAAGCAGAAAGTCTGCAAATCTCTGAGTCCTGCACAACAGATGGAAAATTCTAATATTCTATCAACGTTTTCTATCTAACATTTATAGAATATTAGAGTGTAACTAGTCTACTTTAATTTGAACAGACATTTTTTGTGCAAACATAACCAAATATGATGAACAATTAGATTTGCAATATCAGTATTTGTTTCTTCTCTTCTTTAATTGATTCACATTGTCTAAAGTAGCAACAAACTGAAACTAAAAACAAACTAGAAATTATTCCAACTCAATGTGACTCTACTTTCTGAGATTTACATGCTGCCTAATGTAAAATATTTTAAAACTAGATTGTATATTTTATGTCCAAGTCTTTTGTCTTTTTTTAAGCCACCACATGTAATCTCTGTTATTGGAGTCAGGTGTGCACACGTCTCCAAATTGTGCAAAGGCTTTATAGTGGACAATAGATTGATCTTTGAGTGCATGCTAATGATAAGCACATGGAAATACTGATGCTATTTTCTCTTCTACAGTAAGAGAAAGTGACACAGGTAAAAGTTTGTGGATTGGCAGAAAATATTCTGGTGCAAATATGACACTCAAAAACCAAAATTCACAAGTAATAAGCATGTAGTACTTGCTTAGTACTACATGCTAAGCATGTACTACTTTCCCTGTAAAGTAGTAACCAATACTTTCTGTGACATTCGGTGAATCCTGAAGATTGAAAAGAGGTTTTAATCTTGGATCCCCTCGATGCTGAGGCTCTAACTGTCCATGTAAGCAAGCACTGTTTGGACCCAGCATACCTTTCTCCTCCAGGGTAATGATCATAGTTCCAGGTCCAAACGAGTTCCAGGCGGTGCAGTTGTACGGGGAGTGAAAGTCAGACTCCATGACGTTGTTGATGGTCAGGGTGGAGAGGACGGCGCCGCCTTGGGACTGGGGTTTGCTCTGCTCCACCGTGTACCTCTCCATCAGAGTGCCTTTCTCCTTCTCCCAAACGTTCTCCTTCCAGGCCCAAACCTGTGAAAAACCAAACCAAACCGATTTCAGATTGGGACACAAAAACATCTACAGTTTGAACACAGCTCCTTGGAAGAAGATCAATAATGCTCATTTCACTTCACCTTCAATCAATAACTACAAAAAAAATCACATCTAGAGGGACATGGTCAAAAACAAAGACTGAAAAACTGATAGTTTGGTATTGAAAGGTTAATTAAAGGTTAATTACCCCTTCATTTCTCATGTTGCAAATTCCCGAACTGGAAAGGGAATGAATTCCTCATGAAGGAATCAGAACCCAGATGACACGGAGTAGCAGGTGTACATGGGTGTTAAAATCTCAAGCAGGTTTTGCCACTTAAAATGTGCCAAGGAGGAATTTCTAGTGTATTAAATATGGAGCACTGCAACATCAAATATGCATCCAGCCATATTTTAGGCTTATGTTCATTTTAAATGGTGTTGAAAAAATAAAAAGATGACTCACTGAGTTACAAATCCAAAATCCTGCCAATATTTTGTTTTTATTTCATGACAGTTTTATGCAATGCGTCCTTTTGTCTTTCTGTACTGTCAACTCTTTTAAATATCTTTCTAACAATAATTATGTTGTATTGCTTCTGTCTGTGTCTTTTTTCCTTTTTTTTTGATGTTTTTGAGTCTGTCATTGCCTCATTGGACACGTGCACAAGCACGCACATAGCACCGCACTCCATATTTTATGAGTCCCCGTGTCTCTGCATTAAGCCTGGACTATAATGTCGTATCGCATTATACGCTCCGGGCTCGCTGGCAGTGTAGCAGGGGGCTGAATCGCTCTAAAAGCTCTGATTTCTGTCACGTCGGCACTGCACAATTGGATAATTGACGCTGAAAGGTACAAAATTTTACTCTCCCTCAATCCCTCTTCCTCTGATTTCAATTTATTGCTCCCCCACAGCCCTCTTCACTCATTCTAGATGTCAAACTGAAATAATGAATTTATTTTTTTTCCCTTTTGTTGCTTCTTTTTGTTACCGCTAAAGATTCCTCTATTTTTTCCCCTCGAAGGTTTCAATAACATATTACGCTGCCATAAAACATTCAGTTCAGAATAAATTGCAGTTTTATCAAGCATTGCTTCCAGTGATTTCCAGGAATAGATAGAAAAAAAAAAAAAAAAAAAAAAAACTAGCTTGATCCATTTTCATTCTGAAGGATTGAAGAGAAAATCAAATTACAAATTTCCGAGAAGGAAATGTGAGAGGCACTCCTTTCAATCATACATGAGTACAAAGACACACTTTGTGTAATATATCAAAATTAAACAATGGATACTTCTGTAATGTTGCTAGAAGTTTGAGATATTTACACCTGAGCTACTTTCAGAACCTTACTGGGGTTTTTGGGGGGATTTTAAGTTGTAGAAAAACATGTTTTTTTTTAACAAATGAAAGCTAAAATGGCATCTCAGATACCACAAAAATAAATCCTGAACAACAAGAGATGTTACTTCTTAGGGAAAGCAAAGACTTCTCCTGTGTGTAATTTGATCTCAGTATAAATCCTTCCCCTCCCTGAAGGCCTCAGAGGTTTGTTTGAGAAGATTAGTGAGCAAATTTGGAAAACTTCAGGCTGTATAAACAGTTTCATTTCCTTTTACCCTCACTAAACCTCCACTGGAAGCATTTACATTAGTTATTGGAAGTAGGGATAGAATATTTGACGCATTGCTGGCTGTTTAGAGGAACACAACACATCTATTCATCATTTGTCTAAACCTTCTAATCCATGCAGCATCATCCAACATACTGAGTTGAGAAAAATGTGGCAGCCTCGATCACAATTAATCAGTTTTTTATGAGTAACCTGCAACAACAAGTTCATTTTGCAGTCAGAGGATAATTAAGACATGCAGATGCCTTATTAAGTCTTAACTATTCCACATATATAAAGCTAAAATCCAATTGATCAACTCCAAAATGTACAAAACTCAGCAAACAGACTTTTATTGAAAACTAAGCGTGAAGAAATCCTACCTCTAGGGTTATATCTTTTTGCAACACTTCCCATTAATATTTAAAAATGTTTTCAAAACACCGCTTTGAACTTTTGACTTTCTGGCATCAACTTCTTATGCATCTGACCTTTTGGTAACCCAGTGTTCAGCAGGAAGACTGTAGTCCTCAGGCAGAGAGCTGTAAATTCTTCCAGCCAAAAAGCGAGAGCTGACAGAGAATCAAAGTTCCTAAATGCTGAAGGGATCTGGGCCAGGCGGTCAGGTCAGCAGTCACTCATCTCTTTCAGAGCTTGTTGTTGAACACGAACCTCCTTCAAATTTCAGCTTTCCGCATTCAAGTGGATCTCAGAACATAAACTATGTCATGGTGTAACTCTGTATTGGTCATTCTTATTTTATTGAGGTTTCATAAATGTTGCCAAGATGTGTCTGATATCTACAACGTTTATGTTTTTGCAACCTCTCTTATCGTGTTTTGTTTATAATGCTGTGGGGGCAAATTTACAAACCTATCTGCTTAGCAAAGTCTCTGCAGTCCAGAATTTGCAACGACATCTAATTCTCATTCAGCACAAAAAGGAAGATCTGCTCCAAAAATGGCTAAACCAAGCAAATATCGCCTCTCTGCAGCAGCAGAACAAATTACATCGGATTCTTTAAGACGCTGTTTGTCACATGCAGACAGGGGAGAAAAAGGGAGATGTTGCATACACAAAAACACAAAGCAGAGACAGAAGATACGGTAAACTTGCTATGCTCTTTTATATTTGAGACTTTAGCAAATAATTTTGTTAATCAAAGACATTGATTGTCTTTGAGATGTGGAAGTATAAAGCTATCATCCTGCGATTAAAGCCAAAGGTCTGGATGGATCATTTTGCTGTTTTTCACAATTTTGCGGGGGTGAAATGAAACCACCCACATCATTTATTGACAAAACATCTGGAAGATGTGTCAGAAAGAAAACTGCTTTTTAATAAACTTGCTTATATTCCTCAGGCACATTTTTCAAGACTAGCTGTTTTTGAAATTTTTGACATATCATGAGAAAAGTCTACCTGAATGAAAGGGTTTAAAAAAAAAAGCCATGAATATTCTGAAATTATTACAATAAAGGTGGGCTTTCTTATCATTGAAATGGAGCTATTTCTATGCAAACATCAACCTGGACAAATGTACTTTTTTACAATTGCTATACATGGTACAATCCATTTCTGGGGTTGAATATCCTCTAAATGTACATATCTAAACAAAATCTACTGTGCTTGATGGCTATAAATTTCATTTTGCAAAAGTTTAAAAGTAGATTATGGAAATAACACATTTCTGCTTCCAGTTGGCAAAGGATGTGGACCAAACAGCTATTTCGTAATGACCACTCACATTGGCCACCTGGTGCCCTTTAGTGCTTACTGCAGCTACTCTGTTTTCCATTAATTAAATTACTTTACCCTCCCTTAATGCTGCAGCGGCACTTACTGAGGCGTTACTGCTTAAAAAGCGTTCCAAATGACCAACTACATCTGTAGAGGTCATTACTTTCAGCACTGGGCTACTGGCAAAGAAAAGGAAGAAAGATATGTGGGAAATTGGTTATCATTTATTGCAAAGCTGCAAATTAGATGTCAAGATTTTTTTTTTTTATGATAAAACAATTTTCTCCACTTGATAATTTTTGGTAATAGGGCTGAAAGCTCTCATCCAATGTCCCTTAAAAATGAAACATTTTGGAAGCTGTATGTGAATTGTTATAATCTCTGCTGCGTTGGCTTTGGTTTGATCTGTGTGTCTTTGACTTCAAATACACATCTTAGCAGCTGTTTTCATGAGTTTCACCTTCCTCTAAACAGCTTGTTCTCACAAATTAGTGACACTCTTAGAGAACAATGTCGCCTCCGTCTTGTCTTTTACCCCTAGTGACACAAGCTAAAGAGAGAGAGAGTGTTTTCCAGGTGAGCTGGGAGCTTTGATCAGGATTCCCTGCGAGGGAGATGCAATCACAAGAGGTCAAGCAACTCCAGAGAAGATTACAGCTTCAGAGGATGGACTTACAATCTTATCAGGTGGGGGGGTGCTGGCGATGTAACACTTGATCCCTCCTTTTTCACCTCTGACAGCGTACTGAACTGGATCACTGGAGATGATGGGGGGGCCTGGGAGAGACCCGACAAGGCAGAAAGGGGATTACTCATACACACCTGAAATGCTCTGAGGTTAAATCACATTCAAAAGCATAATGGAGAAGGAAAGAGTGGCATGTTAGAGTCAAAATCTGATGTGTGTGGGCAGCCGCCGCACACTTGTCACTGCTGCAGAGAGCGGCAGTCACGGTATGCGCTCTTGAGACTGGTTGCTCGACTTCAGACTGACATTTTTTCTAGATGCCCACAGGGCGGGAGTACATTTTACTGCTAATCACGTAATTTGTAGGATAAAAAGTTAATGGGAGCAGACGGGAATGATACAATAGATAAAATTGCCATGACAGGTGCCGCCATTTTTTTGTTTTCTTAACCTAGCCTGTGCTTAAAAGAACTACGTGACCCAGAAGCCCACAGTGTTTCTGCTGGCTGCACTCCGCTGGAATCCAAAGAAGAGCAATGGAGGATCAAACATCAAACACATATGATGCAATAAATGACTGAGCTGATACCCTTCCAGTCTCTTCTCGACCTCTGGAGAGGTCAAGTGGACTGGTGTCAGATGCCAAGACGCTGCTAGCAACAAGCCGTTCTGAGCAAAGTCTCAGTTTGCTGGGAAATGTTCAACCAGATAATGTAGATTCACTTTTGTTCTGACACAGATATGTTTCTGAGCTTATTATTGAAGAACATGCTGGATTTTACATGGATGTGACGATTCTGACAGCTCGCTGTTACCAGTTGAAGATTAAAGTAAACTCATTTTACAGTAGCATGGTCTGATAAAATTTAGTGCCTAAAGACTAAACAAAGAAAAACAATCGGAGTGAGACAAGAGTAGGAATGGGAGAGAAATTGTGTTTTTTTAGTCTTTCCAATGATTGGGATTGAACAAATATTTATTCTCTGAGAGTATGATGGGACTGGAGGGAACCTCCATCCTTACCTCCATTATCTCACATTTCTTAATATTTTCCATAGGTAGAAATCTAGGATTTCCTTATTTTGCTCATCAAATGGATTTCTTGAGACACAATCCTCATTTGTATCTCAATCTCAGTGGCTTTCAGCAGAAAGACTCCGGATGAGTCCATCAAAATGCACCAAGTTTTGTCTTCTCCGGTGTTTTCAACTCTCTTCAGTAAATCCTTCAAAGTGACACTGTTCTGGCACGGCCATTGCTATTGAATTATTCATTCGGCTAACAAGCAAGGACATATAAAAAAAGCTGCACTTGTGCAGAATGGTTATTCTTTAGAAAATGCCTCTCATCAGTTCATTAGAGCTTATTCTGCTGGGAAACAGGTCTGATATGCTGACCTGTAAGACTTTTATCTCCAATGTTTTGGATCAAATAAGTGTAGCAGATTTTGATAAACAATTTTTTTCTTTTTGCACATTCAAGCTGCCTTGAGCCGTAAATGGTGCTAACATAACAGTCAGCATCATGTCAGAGAACTCCCTGCATTCAAAGTGTCAGAGCATTTTAATTGAACATGAAGGAATAATCACCCAACATTTACAGCCGCAAGTTTTCAAAAAACCTGTTCAGACATTTCTCTTTTCTCCACAATCTGGAGAAAAGAGAAAAGAATCCTTTAAATCTCATTATTCCATAAAAATGTTTGTCATTTCAAAAGCAACTTCTGAAACTCCAGCAGAGGCAAGATTTCATAATTTGTTAGTTTTACCGACACTTTGAGCAAAGTCACATCAATTCTGCTTACAGCAGCGCGGTCGCTCTCTGTCAACCTGAATAAAACAGTGTGAATGCAGTGACTGTGACACAGTCTCCTGTTCTGTGATGAGACAAGACTAAATAAAAGTTACAAGGATGCGACTCAGCTGCTGCAGGGGGCGGGGGGCGGGGCTTAATTAAAGCATGATATGATCCGATCAAGCTTGATACAAAACAGTAAAGCAGATGTGAAACCAGCAGGGGAAATCCAAAGCTGAGATTTAAATCTGAAGCTAAGCTCATGAGTATCTGTGGCAGGGCAGTGTTTAACCAAGTGTCAACTGCAATCTTGACCCAGCAAAAGCTGTCGCACATGGTTAGCTGTGCCGGGCCGGCTGATGTTATATGCAGTGACTTCCCTCTGCTAAAGTATGAATAACTCCTCTTCGAGGATGCAGCCGGGTTTGTGTGATCACTAAAAGGAAGTGGATATTGTGATGTTTTTGTTAAAACTGAAAGGGACCTACTAAGCAAAATTAATATTTTGCATATTTTTGTACTTCCATTTGGATCTCAACAACCTCCAGTGCTTAAAAAGGCAATCCAGATGTTTTGGCAAGAAGTTGTTGGTGTTCCAGATGTAATGTCACAAATCAGCCGGCACTGCCCGTCACCTAGCAATTTAGTCAGCTGGTTTTACTGCACAATACAAAAGGAGACATTAAATGTCTGATTACAAATGAAAATCAGAAAAGTCCAGCTTTTGTATTCAATCTTCTGAGCTTTAGTGGAATTAAAACTGCATTTTTTGACTTTGCAAATCTCGAGATTTTTGCTCAGTCTTCTTTAAAGAATAACTTCAACTCAGAATGACAGTCACACTAACTTTTCAAAAGAGAACCATGCCATCTACCTTCCAAAGTTTAACCTGTATGAATGTTTTTAAGGCACTGGACTTTTAGATTTTATAGTCACTGGCACACATCTGAAATAAATTCAGATCTGGAACCCCTCCTGCATCATTAAAAAAAACCCAAAACATAATTTGTTGTCCTTTTGACACCTCCCTTTGCCCAACAGCCTCACTCAGCTGTGTGCGCACAGAATTGGCAGACGTATTACACTGGATGCCCTTTCTGCTCCCTTGATTGTCCCTGGGAAGGAAGGGAGTGGAGTTTGAACTGAAAGCCTCCAGATCTGCAGCCAACCTGCTCTGCCACCCAAACCACTGTTTGACCTGCGTTTCATTTAAGAGCTAAAAACTCATTGCCATGCACTTTTATTATCTTTGGGTGTTTTCACAAATGATAGTCTGGTAGACTTGGTTTTATTCCCTCATGAGGGAAGATCTGTTTTACACCCTCCATGTTTCAGCTAATAATATTTATAGCAGCGTGTGCGGACATGAACTGACCATTGACAGTGAGCGTAACCTCGATCTCTCCCACTCCGATGCGCGGCACGATGGCCTTGCAGACATACTGGCCTGCATCGGCCTGGCTCACTGACTTCAAATGCAGCTGGTTGTTGTTGCTGAGAACCTGGAAATAAAAAAGTATAAATAAAGAACAGGACGTCTGGTTGTGATGTAAAGATATTCAGGAAGGGAACAATAAAGGGAAGGAGTATGAAAGGAGGAGGATCTATGTTTAATTCATAATACATGTTGATTTACTCAGCAGGCCCCATTAACTTTTTCTCCCCAGGCCTTTTCTTAAATGGTTGGGGCATAAATTAAAGATCTAGAAGCCTCAGAACTAATAGTAAGTCCTTTAAGTGAGCAAACACTTCAAAAATATACCTCCTTAATGTGCAGTGAAGCCAAATTCTTCAGTACCTTCCACGATTATTGGAACTCCTGGTGGGGATGTGTACAAAAGCATTGAAATAGATTCCCTCTATGGAGACTCGGTGGCCCTAAGAAGCCTCTCTTAGCTGTTAGTCTGAAACAACGAGCTTTGGAGATTTTTTTCTACCTTCCTTACCATTTTCATTGTTTTAATTATTGCTCCGACTGTAGGTTTTGGTAAAATTAGGCGGGTAGTTAATTTCTCCCATTTGGAAGTTGTGGGGGGACATAAATAATATAAATGTACACATTCTGCCGATATGAACTTATTGGGGCTTTTTTTCCATGCTGTGCTCTTACCATACTGGAGCCCTTTTTGGTCCAGGTGAGGGTAAGAGGAGGGTTTCCAGCCCACTTGCAGTTCAAAGTAACATCTGAGTACACATCCACTGTTACTGGTCTGGGCTCCACCACTAGAATTGGACCAACTAAAAAAAAAAACACACCAACATAAATGACAAAAAAAATGTTAAATTCTCAAAAAGCAAAGCAAGCTTAATGATCATCAACTGACTATAAACTCTTAATAATAAAGAAAATTAAATACTACTTCCTTATTTTGAAAGGATACACAGTGGTCATGAAGCTAGATCCTTTCACAATTTAAATTATTATATAAAATTAAGGCTTTTAGGGATGCATTTTCACTGTTCTTTCTTCAGGAGTGTAAAGATCACACAGCAACTTTGTAAAATTTTCAGCAGAATGCAAAGACGAGCCATATACTTTGTGGGGAAAGGGTTCATTACCAGAGGAAACAAAGACTGAACTGTTTGAGAACAATGACAAAAGCTCTAGATAAGGAGGAAGGCTACAGTTCAATAGACTCAATTTGATTAGGGACCAAATTGCAACATTTGATACATTTCCTGCACCGTGTCAAATGAAACTGCAGTGGTGCTGCACCAATGAGGAAAATGACACAAAAAACTCTGAAAAAACATTGAGTGCAACTTCAGTTTTTGTAAAATATGAACAAAAGTGAGGTGGTGTCAAATTTTAGCGATTACAGAATTTCTCTTTCATGATCAGCAAAAGACCACAATCTATTTCTCCTGCTAGCGTGAGACTGTTATGTTAGTTTTGGTTATATTTACCCAGAATGCCCTGCACTAAAGCTCACTTCCTGCTTTTGGAGCAGTTTCTGGTCCACTTGCATCCACAGACGCGTTCGAACTGCACCAGAGTTCAGTTCAACCGAAACCAACAGTTAGACTTTTAGGTGGACCAGAGTTTGCTTATTTGGTGCGGATCAGAGTTCAATTGGGCATGCACACCTCCGCAAACGAACCAAACTTTCTAGATAAACAGGCTAGAGTTCAATTAAAGCAACTAAACAGGCTGCTGTGAGTCAGCCCTAAATATACATCTGCATGGTTGAATCTTGGACAAGCCTGAAGAGTTCCTACATTAAAATCACTTCAGACACACACCACAGTTATAATTAGAAGTGATAAAGCTTCTGGAATTATCTTAAAATGTTAAAAAGTTCATCAATTATTTTAGATGAACTCTTTTGCACTTAACACGAGAGTCATCACATGTAGCCAGAATCACACCACATAACTACAAATATCATATAATTTGTCAGCAACTTCATCACTCATTTATTTAAGTAAAAACAAAGCTATATCTTGCTTTCTTAGGTGAAAAGCAGCTTTATTGTCCTCCTCAGCACACGAGTGTTTATTATTGACTCACAGTGCACGTCCACCAGGATGCTGACGTTGGTGCTTCCCACTGCGTTGAACACCTGACATGACACGGGCTCAGTGAAGAATGAATGATCTGCCGTGGTGACAAACACACTTTCCCTGGCCCCCTCCAGCAGCACGCCACCTTTGGCCCACCTGGCGGTGAAAAACACAACACCCTTTAACACGTTTCACACGGCTGCAAATCATTACTACGTCGGTCTGTCTGCAGGAAATTTCAGAAGCTGTGAGAGGATCTTAATGTGAGATTTTCACTCTAGGAATGTAAAAAAAAATATGACTTGATTCTCATGCTCTAGGGAAGCTCTGCAATAAATTAAAACAATTTCTGAAATCCACATGGTTGCTTGCCAAATATCTAGCTGAAAATCATATCACCATATTGCACATTCTCCACAGAATGACATTTTAATGCACATTCTGTAGGCTCTGCACCTAAGTACCTGGCAGTGTTCCCACATCAGGACCTTCTCTGATAGAGTTTCAGACCTCAGCCGTTTTTTTTTTGCACTTTCAGTGCTTCGTAGATGTCGCTTACGATAAAACTCTCCGTTCGGCTACACAAAATGTTCAATAGTTTCACAAATTTTGTTCTCTAAGCAGAAATTACAATTCAGGAGCAGCTCTTCAGAGTGAACACAAGCAGATTGGAGCAGATGAAAGGAACCCATTGGCATTGATCATCCGATCAGGCTGCTAATGTTGCACTGCAGGACCACCAACATCAAAACCTTCCTCACATCTTGAGCTACAATTAAAGCCAAATGCAGATATGAGTTCATTTAGACCTCTAGGCTGCAGTGGTTGGCAGAGGAAAGGATATTTTTAGGAATTGTTTCCAAAAGCTGGTATAATCTGTTGAACAAATAGAGTGAAAAATATTTTCCCTCATAGATTTATCCTTTTGGTACATATAAATGTTTCATATCAAACATATTTCAGTCAAACAACCTTTTATAAATTCAACAATTTAGATTTCAAATTAGAATTTCATGAATTCGGGCAAGAGGCTATTAAAACCACCCTGCTCTAATGTGGAGAAAATAATTGATCTATTCTGGTGACTAGATGACTTTAAGAAATAAAAAAAACATTCAAACAGAACCAGTCTGACAACATGACGTAGGATTAAAGATCTCCAAAAAATGTAATTATAATCATCCAATTTTTTTGTCACTTATTGATAGTCAAATCAAAGATCAATAAGTGATGCTTGATTGTAAGTGTAAATTCCAGTAGTAGGTCTATGCCAGCATGAAAACAGTAAATGTTAGCATTCACATTGTGCCTCTCATTCTTCCTCTGCCTGCGAAAGACTTTGCTTTATTGTTTATTTATCTGTTGTTTTACTGTAAGTAACCTTACAGAGCTGATTTAGAACTTTAGTGAATTTTCTTGCCTGTCGATTTTTCTAAGTGTCAGCGGATAAGGCAAAAATGACTCAAAAAATGTCTGAGGTAAGGTATTGAGTTCTTCTTTTGTATTTTATTACTAGATGGCAAACCAACTTAAGATGTCTGTACTGCCACCTACTGGACTGGAGTGTCAGTCCAGTTCCACTATCTCTGCTGTCTGTGTCAGTTTTGCTTGACTTTCACTTGGAGGTTAATTTGAAAAGCCTTTTTTCCATTAATATTCCAATATTTGAAAACTGCATTTACTTTTCACTGACATTAAAATTTGTTTGATAACTCAAAAGTAAAAGAGATATTTTAATATTCTTCACAGCACCGTATTTTCAAAATAAAACTCAAAACCCAGTCACTTAGTATGTATTTTACATAATTTTTTTTTTTGTTTTACAATCACTGACAATGATGCAAATTTTCCTTCACAGCATCAGGTCAGTGGCACAGCTTCTTCTTTTTTTAATAAAAGAGGCTTCCTTACAGGGTCAGTGGCACCGTCTAACTTTAGTATTTCCCCAGGGTAATCGCATGAATTTTAATTTCGCCATCTGTGCAAACATGAGAGTTGTCATCAATCAGACCTGTAGCCCATGATGGGCGGGTTGGCGGTGGCCTGGCAGGTGAATGTGACTCTTTCTCCTTCCAGGACTGAGCGAGGCTCGATGGACAAGGTCACAGTGGGAGGGTCTGCACAGGAGGAGAAACAGATTCAGAGCCTGTTGTAAGCAGAAACTGACAGAGTGAATCTCTTATTTCCTTTGCATAAATCAATGAGGACCTGCACTGAAGCCCAACAAGCCGACAAGTTTAACATAAAAGATGCTTTCCTGAGACGTATTTAACACTTTGGTGTCTGGCTACACAGCATATTGTTCACTCAAAATTTTACTGCTTTTCAAAATGTTAGGGCAAAATTACATTCTGAAATAATATATTTGTTTGCTTCTGGATACAGTGGACCCCATGCTATTCAGACTTTTCTGTGGAATGTGAATCCAAGTTATTCACGCTTATTTTGTAGCACATATTTATAAAATATTAAATAGGAAATGCAACATGTCAAATAGCACTTTGCTTCTTGACTGGCATTTGCAAAATATTCAATCTAGGAGCTGCATAAGTATGTATTTTCATAATTGTCCAGTGTGAGATTATGCTGTCGCAATAAAAGAGGCTCTTCTAAGTTTTATGGGTTACAATAATTGTGCCCTTGTGGATTTAGCTATTTCCAAACACTGCACAACTAGTTGAATGAATGTAAAAAAAACTATATGTCCAAATATTATCTTGTTATTTTTAATCAACAATGCTAAAAAATAATCAAGCTGGTTTGTGCACAGATCTTTCCAAGGACTTTTTAAAAAGATAAAATAAATGATTTTAGCACAAGTTGGGATTGTATGATGCATGTGAAAATGTGGAGCTTATATGAAATAAAGCAAAAACAACAGAGCTTTGTGGCAATAACGGTCTTAAAAACTTATCATTACAGCTATTTTGCTTTGCTTTTCGTCTTCGTCCACCTGACTAGGTCCTTTAACTCTTAACACCCACAGAGAGGAGAGCAGCAACGTACGGTGGACGTTGAGAGTGACAGTGGCTCGTTTGCCCATTGGCACTGCTGGATTGCTGGCCACACAGGTGAAATTGCTGCCGCTGTCAGTGTCAACTGGAGTGATGGGGAGATAGCTCCGGCTCGTCACTCTCTTCCTGTCTGGCAGAACCTCCTGTTCGACAAAGAAAAGTCAGAAAGGTGAAGAATGAGAACAGTGCAGGAGACGGATGAAAAATGATGGGGGACAAAGGGAGACAGCAAGAGAAAAAACAAGGAAGAGTGAAGGAAAAGTTACAAATTAGGTCAAATAATAAAAAAAAGTCTTTACAGAGAGAAGAAAAAACTTTTTTTTTTCATACCCAAATCTGTTTTTAACCTAAGTGTTGAACAAGAAGGTATTGTCTTTGTGAATACAGCTCCCCAATCTGTCAACTGTGTGACATAAATAGAGGTGGGCTGCAAGTAAAATTAATGAAGTAAGAGACAGAAATATAAAGTTATGTGGAAATTTTGGTATTTTAAAGACCAAAATGATTCATATAACGAACATGATTACAAAATAACAAAATCAAAACTTTTCCAAATTTGATTTTTTCAATCTAAAAGTTCTGAAGTTTTAACAAGCTTGTGTCTGTGACTGGTGGATTTGTGGTTGAAACATGTTTTCTCATTCAGTGGGTAGAAAATCCACAAATTTTACTCAAGTAGAATTAAAAAGTACAGTGGAGTCAGAATACTCCTAAAAGTAAATTCGTTCCAAAAAGCCACTCAAGTAAATGCACCTGAGTAAATGTAACTAGTTACTAGTTACTAGCCAACTCTGAATATGAATGAGCGGCCAGTAACAGTGTAACACAGGAGCAGGATGAAATATGCATGACCACATGTGTGTGTGGAAAGGGGATAAAACCGTCTGAGAGAGATGTAAAAACATCTGTGTTGGAGTGTGAGTGTTTGATGCTGACTCCGTGTGCATAATAAAACATGAGTGAGCATATGTGAGCGCGGGGCTTGCAGGCATGATTTCACGTGAGCGGGAGAGAGAACAGGATCCCGTGGAGTCTGACTGTGGGAGAAAGAGCGCAAAATATCAGACTGCACGAGGCGTCGACCTGGGATGTTCAGAAGTGTCTCTGCCAGCGTTTTGAAGGCGGTCTCAGCTTTACAAGGTCAATAAAACACGCCTCGGATCTTTGGGTCTTTCAAGTTGCATTGCAAGCAAGTTACATGTTTGCAGGGCAACAAGTGTTTGGCATGTTTGGCATATAACTTCACAGAATCAAAGAACGGTGACTGGGTGAAGAAGAAGCTATTTCTTTCTGTACATGCAATATCTATGTTTGGTTTTTGCAAAAATATCTGACATTTCAAAAGTAAATTTGCTTAATGGAAACATGCCAAGTTTGACAAAATAAAAACAACTCCCTTTTTTCTAAAAAGTTTTAGGCCTAGCATTAGGTGATTTTTTTTTACATTTATTTTACAAAACTGCAAAAGAAACACTTTTTTTTTGCATTGCATGAGTCACATGACCATTTGATGTGGATATGACTGTGCAATCTCAGTTTTGTTTCCATAGAAAGTACCCCTGAATCAGTGTCTCTCTGTATCTTTTATGGATTTATTACATGACACGGATGATGAGTTATTATTCTTATTATCTCATGTATTCCCAGGTCAGAGCTTCTTTTTTAGCTGCCATTTGCTCACATCAAAGCCACTGACAGAGCTTTGCTGTCATTAACTGTGTACTCCGAGGCCTTACTTCATGGTAAAAGTACTCTTGATGTTATAAAATAAAATTAAATGAATGGAGTTGAATAATGAACTCTTTCTTTGAATGCTCTCCATTTTTAAATGAAAATACTTTTAGAATAAATTATAATTCTTTCTAAGGAAAAAGGAAAAAAAAAAAAACTTTTGCACTTAAGTTGCACAAACTCCTTCAAGAAGAAATAGCCAAATTTCCATATCCATAGATAGATATTTCATATTCATTTTTTCTTTTATTTCTTATGGTTTAATTCACTTATGTTAGCCTCAAACATGTGCTTCGTGTCTGTATATTCAAATGCCTGCCATGTTCTACACCTGAATCATTTTCATTCAGCCTGAGGCAAAGTGAGCTGCAGAAACCCCTTCGGCGTTTAAAAGTAAACAACCTTCACCTATAGCTGAACAAAAGAACAACAGCAAACAAGTAAATTCATATTTGAGTTTCTGATGTGCCATTTCTTTAGTCTGTGAGAACAGCTTTACCAAATACAATATCCACCTAAGGTTATGGCATAAAATGTCCACTCATGAATGTATTTAAAAACAACAGGGAAGATATTTGCAGGTAGTTTAAAAAAGCAACATGTTTTCATTGACATGTGGATGAATACTGTGTGGCTGTTGCTGAGCTGTTCATAATTTCATTATTATCTCCTGATTCTCTGATTATTTAATCTGTTTATGAAAAATATAAAATATTTTTGAATGTTTTGTATGCTGAATAGCTTCTGTATTATTGTTTTTTTTAAAGTGTGATGAAATATTTACCCAGCAGTGAATTGTAGCTGGTTGTGTCCTTTTGCAACCTTCTGCGCCTGAGTTAATTTCTGCAACTGTAACTGATTCTGAACGCTTCATAAATTCATCATAACCAAATAAATAATTAATGCTGCTTTTTCCTGCTTTTTTTCATCTACATCTACCAGCTTTTTAATTTGTACCTTTCTCTACCCTGTTAGAAATAATTAGACAAGTGGTGGTTAATGATGAATTCAATATGATTTAATGTGTTTTTACTTTTCATATATTTTGTCAATTAGTCCCTTTTTCAGATTTTGATGATGTCAACTAATTCCTTTCTTGAGAAGGAAAGGAATTTCCTTTCCTTTCCTGCCTGGAAACAACTCAGTTTTCTGTTCTTCATATGTGAAAGATAAAAGCACAAAATCAGGCACATGGAAAGACGGGAGATTTTTTTCTAAACCAATGGCTTTTTCTCTCTTTGGTTTAAAAATAATGCAGCAATTTAAAAACAACAGATCCTTTGGCTTAGCTGATACTACTGTGTTTATGTGACTTTATGACCTGAGGTTATGTGTGACACTCACAAAAATACCATCACCTGTTCAGCTATAAAAACAAAAAACATGACGTTTAATTAAAATCTCAGGTTTTCCATTCTTGGCATTTTTTTTTGCAAGAGGTTATTGGTCGTATTTTGCTTATTTCAAACAACTAGCAGCTGTTGTTCACCAACAAGATTCACCCTCACGCTATCAACAGCTTACCATGGAAAGACATCTTAATATACATTAAATAGCTGTCTGATGAATATAACAAGAGTACAGCTTTTCAAATACAGTTGGCTGAAGAAACTTATTACTGGATGTTTAACTCAACATTTATTAACCTTTCAGTTTTTATTAGCATCTTTATACCCAAATTATCCAGAGTTTAGCATTTATGAGATAAAACTCCATGAAAAAATCTATTTTGTGCAGTAGATCAGTTATATCACCAGGAGAGTGATTTTCTAACACATATTATCCAGTTTGGGATTTTGCAAAAAGAAAAATCTTCAAACAGAAGTTGCAACTCTTCTTTAAGATTTCCTTATTAAAAAAGCCGAATTTGAAATTAAGTCACTGTGTCAGAGGTGCACTTTCATTCATGACTTTGTTAAAAAGTTACTGACTTGTTTTACATGTAAATTCGCAAAGAAACTACAGGAATACTCGTTTTTTGAGATTTGTCAATTATTATTATAATTGTTGTCATTATTACTATGTTGGATAATCTTCGGAATATGTATGAAGTAGAAAAGTATCCATCATTGAACTGTATTGTATTTATAATTTATTCAAGGTGCATGCTCCCATTAATTTAAGTTCCCTCACGTTTCAACCAAGGCCCTGCAGCAAGAAACTGCAGTAGTGAGAATTTTACTGCTTTTTATGTCTGATTTAAAGGCATAAAGTTGTTCCTTTTATTGTCTCTGATTTGCATTTAGGAGGTTTCAGACCTTATCTTTAGAAACATGTTCTCTGTCTGCTAAGATGTTGAATCTGGATTTTATTGTTGAGAATTAAGCTTTGTGTAAGAATGTCTTTCTCAAAGCAACTTTGAAAAATTCTGCATATATTTAAATGCTATAAACTCATCTTAGGTTTCTGGCGTTTCTTCTCAGTGCAAGTGTGAGTGTTAATATGTTCATGCATTGTGCAGGCGTGTGTATGCGTGTGTGAGTCACCGTAGAGTGGTGTGCTCCCTCCACAGGGATGCCATTCTTGGTCCACTGGATGTGAGCTGCAGGCTTGGCCCCGCGGGTTACGCAGGTCAGGTTGAATGCAGTTCCAGCCATCAGCAGCAGCTCCGGCGTTCCCTCCACCACCGGATCCTCAGGGGGGACTGCAGGACAGAAACACAAATCCATACTCTTGACTTTAACGCAAGGGCACTCAGGTTTAAAGAACAGCCACATCTGTGCACACACACACACACACACTCCAGTTTTTCCCCATAGGTCAAGGGAATATTGGCTCTTATAAGTTTCTTTCAAAAGAAGTTCACACTTTACAAGAGGAATTTTTCTCACCAATCAAAAGCAAAGTGCAATGTCACCTTCTGAGAAGTCCAAAAGGGCTGTCGTGCATTTTCCTCAGGAGAGTCCAACTTTCTGACTTTTAACCTTCTCGCTGATTTAATATCTCAAAATATTCTGGGAGCACTGAGCATGAACTCCACTTTGGCCCTTTTACTGAAATGCAAGACTTTTACGACTCAAAGTATCATCGATAACTACATAACTTAAGGTTGATATTCTCTTTTGGTAAAAAGACTCTGCTTTCGGCCTATAATGAACTGGCAAGAATACAAAATGTAGCTGGATGGAATGAAGCAAGAAAATACGCATTGTGTAAAAAAACAAACATGCAAATCATATTTGAGTGATCCCCTGTGTGGTTAATGTTTTTAACCACACAGTAATCTGATTGTTTTTTAAATTTATTTTCATTCATTTATTTTTTTTTTCTTTTAACGTTTCTCTTTTCCTATTGAAGCTGATAGAAGGAATCTGGTGGCAGAGTTTTTATTTGAAACCAGTAAGAAAAGAAAAAAAGTGTAATTTATGAACATTCCTTAGACGTTTCTGATGACTGTGCGGTGAAATAACCCTCTGGGTAAAAGTCTGAGGGCAGGACGTTGTCTTTTACCTAGACAGGGGCTGCAGTGACTCATTAATTACACAATATATTCCAGTGATTCACAGCTTGACTTGACGTCTTACTAATAGATTTTAGCTTTTCTCAAGACCATAATGTCTCAGAAGTGCTTTTTTTCTTCTATATCTTATTATTTTTTTATTTGACCTGTATTTATACAGGTTGTCTCATTGAGATCTCATCTATAACACACATTTTGTAATAAAGGAAATGAATTATAAACACAGCAACTAAACAAGTAATTGAGATCTGAATGAGTTAAATAAGATAATATTTCTATATATTGAGATATTACACTTTTTGTCCATCAATTAATGGAAGAATGAAAACTTTGACATGTGGAACTATGCTGAACACGTTTAGGCTATTCATGGCTGTGCACATCTGCAGCGGCCTCTCTGGCTTCAGGAAAATCAGTTTATTTTTGGACCTATGTGCAGACGTCTTTGTTGGAGATAAGAATAACGTTTGGTGATGTAAGGAAGACATTAAACAATTGGTTGTTTAGGAGGCTGCATGGCTACATGCAGAGGAAACTGATTGACCAACTGAGGAAGCAGGGAATGTGGTGTGTCTGGTGTCAAAGCCTAGGAAGCTGACAAAAGTTGCTCTCCAAGGTCATGAACCTAGAACTTTGCATATAAAGTCTTGAAATGTAATAATTAATGATTAGGCTGCACTAATTGGAGCTCCCTGTCCTACAAGAAGAGCTGCCTATGAGCACATACAGTCTATGCACATTAAGAAGACTGTAGATCCGTAATATGATTAAAACAAGAGAAACACAATTTCATATCTAAGTACTGTCTTTGTAAATACAATTGTGCTAAGCTACTTGCTGACCCTCTTTTGTTTGACGCTTAGAGAAGACCCCAAAGTTTCATCACATAAGGTAACCCAAAGATAAAGCATTTCAAAAAAAGGATGATTGAAACAGGAAAACAATGATATATATAAAAGAAAACAGAGCAATTTGACCGTTGCTCTTACAGAAGCAGATCACTTACTAAGTACGTTGAGCTTGGCTCTCCTGGAGCGCAGGGCGGCCTCCGTGGCCTGACACTCGTACAGGGAGTCATCTGACAGCTCAGCGTGTGAGATCTCCAAATTGAACTGGCCTGTGTCCAGCGCCCGCAGCACGCGGTACCTGGGCCAGGCTGCAAGAGACGCACAGCAACGACGCAATCAAGAAACAGAAACATCACAAATATTTTCCTCTTTGTGACATTTTAGCTCACCCAAAATTTTCCACTTAATACTGCCATTCAGTAGCCATTTTATGGCACAATGAAGTAAATGTGCTACTGTCACTATAAAAATGCTATATATACACACCAAGTATGACCTTAAAGAAATTCACCTTTATAATTCAGCCTTAAAATTGGGAATCTGTCTCTTTAAAAACTCCTGCTCTTTTTGAATCACCATCTTCAGGGAGTCATCACAACATGGCTCCTCTATTGTTATAATGAGCTCAGCAGATCTGCAGTTTCACCACGTTTGCTAATTGCTGCTGGCTAGTCTGAAGGAGCTGAGTGGGGGAGTTGCAGGGCAGAGATGCTCTGTTGTTAGAAAACCTCAAATGGCGCTATGTTGCCTTCGAAGCGAATGGTTGCCATAGGAGATTAAATGATTTCACTAAGATCCATTAAATAATCAAGATAAAACTACAGGTATGTTTTTGATGATGGAATAACACTGTAACTATAATGTAGTTATAATGTATATTATAATATATATTGTAATAATATGATGTTAAGCTCAAAAAAGGCAATTTCACTTAATATTTCCTCTTTAAACCTAGAAGGAATCGGATTATGGTCAGAAATATACAATATAAGTAACATGTAAATAAAATGCATGAATTTATTTGACTGAAATATGAGCATCGTCTGTGAATTTCAGTCAAAACAAACTCTGTTAGGGGTAGACCAGTGTTGAAGCTTAATTGCGTGAGGCAGTGATTACAGGCTGTCTTTGCCGCTGGCTGGGATTTAAGATCGAAGCACAGACATCATCTCTTTGCAGTGCATATTTAATGGACATTGGACAACTCATGCCAAAGTTTGCAGAGACTAGATCCTTAGGTTTCAGGTAATTATAGCTTCCTCAGCAGCAGTTGTGCTTGGAATAGAAGAAAATTAAAATACCATCAAATACCACTGATGTGTTTAACCTTTTGGGACGTTTAGAAATGTATATCTCTGTATCGACCCTGCCAGTGACACCGGCTTGAATTATAAAAGCTCAGATGTTCGCAAATTATTGAGCTGTGGCTCATCTTTGCAGGATTATGACACAACTATTCTGTGAAAAAGGGTAATGAGATACCATTTTTTTTTATCTCGGAGCTGAACTGTGCCAGAATGTTCAGAGTATCAACCTTATCTCTTTTATATCGCAGCTTTGCTTCTGTTTGTCAAATTCCTAATAATGACATTAATTGAGATCCTTTATCATTAATTACTCTTCAACAGTTTCTTCATTTTTAAAGAGCAGAAACGTCATGTATTAATCATCCGTCACTGTTCTCTTTTACTTTCTTTCAAATGTGGGAAAGACTGAGGCGTGCATTGTTTACAGCACAAGGCAAAAGATACAAGCTCTTCAGAAATAGATAAATGCTGAATCAAAATCTCATTAGATGAATCAGAGGTGGCAAACAGAACGTAGGACATGCAGTTATGCGGAAATGTCAAGACTTGTTATCGAACCACAGTGGGAACATTGAGCGTTTACTTCAGATGTTTCCTTTTGTTTTAACTGCACTGTCTGGAGATCAGAAATGTGCCTCCTTTGCACACATCAGATGGTAAAAACACACACACACATTCACTAATATATAGATAAACATCTGCAGAAAGACGGATCAAACACAGTCGCATATACGAAAAGTGCCAAATCAATCCTTGTGTGATTTGAAAACTGCTAAACTACAGGCAGCGCTCTTCCAATTACTGCAGCGCCCCAACTCCCCCTCCTTTATGTTTGAACCATCGCCTCTCACACAAAGACATAATTGAGCGTGACGTCCCACTAGGGGGCACTCATTGATCCTGCGTGCCCGATCCTCTCATGACATCATGGATTCAGGAGGGAGGGAGGCAGGTTGGGGGGCAGAGAGAGAAACAAGCAGGGTGGCGGGTTGGGAGGGTGAGTGAAGGAGGAGGAGGAGGTTGGGGTGCGGGGGGTGGCAAAAGTATTAGTGGAGATTACATCACCCACTCCAGCATCTCGCAGCATAGCAACCACAGAGGTGAAAGCACCCCAGGGAGAAGCGGAAGAAGGAGCAGGAACAGCAAGAAGAACAATAAACTGATACCACTGACGTCTGCAGGTGGAGAACGAATGACTGTGTGTTTTATAGGTATTCACTGAGTCTAAATGTGCACCTGTGCATTGATTATATGGGAATCTCTTCCAACTGAACACGTTTCATGTCTGTCTGCACAACTAAGTGCTGCTGTGCTGTTTAGCTGAATGATCAACACGCTTGTGGGGGAGCTGCAGGTTTGAATTTGCAGCACAATATATGCCGACACTTGTCCTAAACAGCCACATTTAGCCATGCTGGTCACGTTTCCCAAAAACCTCTTTTACCCAACGCACATCACGCACCTGCACCACTTCATTGGCTCATAATATATTCATTACACACTTAAATAAATTACAGACTTCCAATATGCTGGACATGCTGGTCAAGAGCATGACATAAACATAAATATCAGATGGGGGATGAAGGAATGGCAGCTGGGTCTGCAAAGTGGACAGGAGGCAGTGATGGCCGGCTGAAAAGCAAAGAAAAAGCAGACAAAGAGGACAACATGCTGATAAAGAATGGTCTTCATCAGGACAGTGTTGTGAAGAGCTACAAAGGGAGCATTAATGACCAACAGAGAGCAGGAGGAGAAACGGATGCGAGGAAGAGGAAGGAGACGCAACAGAGGGAATCTGGGAAAGTGACAACGAGGAGCAGAAACAGAAAAAAGATCTGCTGACCTTTACTGAACCTGCGAGGTAAAATGAGTTGAGCACCAGATCGCCGTCACATGTTAAATCATCACAGTGTGACTCTGCGCATGCCGAGCTGGAGTGTTTTCTTGATAAGAGGCTAAAGACGTCCTTCTGTAACTCTGAGGCTGCAGGTTTGCAGAATATAACAGTAAAATACTGTGCTAAAGAGACTTGTAACCAAGCCAAACAAATAAGCTCACAGCCAAAAACTGTTGGTAAAATTGATCAGATTTTCCTAATAATGGAAAACAATGACCAGTTATAATGGAAGCAGAGTAAATAGCAGAGCGTGGTTTCATTTGACAATATTTCAGTGAAGAGAGAAAGAAATTCTTTTTAGCTCTTTGCTACATGTTTTGTGCAAACAGTTATAGATTTAAAAATTGACTTAGACTGTTATTGTTTCATGCAGAAACACAGAGCTCAGCAGAGAAGCAACAAGGGGATTCAGTAGCAACAGGATCCCAGAAAGTTCCTTTATTTCATCCTTTTGAGCATTTCAACCTCTATCTGCCGTGGATTACGCAGGATTTGGAAATGTCGGCAGCTTGCTGGAAGATTTAGACACCTTAGAGTCATATTTATATTCTGGAACACATACCAAGAGCCTGTTCATGTAATTAGCAATTAAACCTCAGATAAACATGCTGATCACTAAGTAAAGTTAATAAAAACAGCCTGGCAATCAGATATGTCACCATCAGAAGTTTTGTTTTGCTACAGCAGAAAACTCTTATTGTATTGAGCAACAAATGTTCTTTTACTTCATCTCTCACTCACATATGATGCAATGTTCCCTCTGCTTATTAATAATTCATGGATCGATAAACTGATACGGTACACTAAATATATGACACTACACTGCAACACTAAGAACTTAAAGCCAAGTAGTTTTGCTGCCGGATTTAGTGAAAACAAGAACTATTTCATCAATATTTTGTTTCCTGAAAAGGTCAGAGTTCATGTCTTCAGCTTTTTCTTAAACCACATCTGTGATCTACACCCATCCTCCACCTAACCAAACCCTTTCCATTCAATCTTTGCAACAGAGATGTCCAAACTTTTTAACATTTCAGGTAAAATTGTTGACAAAAGAAAGAAAAACAAAGCTAAATGAAGAGTCAAGTCATTTTGATTTATTTTTATTTTACCTACAGTAAATTAAACATGCATAATAAGAAATGTATACTTTCCTAAATTTTGGGGGTGGGTTGTTTTTTTTCTTTCTGTATTTGGCCAAGTTTAACGAACGGGTCTGTCAGTTGTGCTTTTTGAGCAAAAGTTGTTAAATGTTTCTGACCTTATTTCAAATGAAATTGCAATTAAAGCAAAAAGTAAAGTAAAAATGCTTTTGTTTACCTGAAATTCTCAATTTGAAGAAGTTTTTAATTTGTCAGATACATTTTTCAACTTTATCACTGAAACTGTGATCGGGGACCACATGAATTAATTTCTAGTGTTATAAATGGCACTTTTAAGTAAAGCGTGATGAGGGCAGATAGTCAAAGGTGATCGTTGGGCTGTGAAGGGTGATGGTGCTTCATGTGAAGAGTTTTACATCTGAACATCGTACATGCACTTCTTTCTCAGATATCTTTCTGAGCTTACTTACGGACAGTGTGCGTTGTAGCCTGCCCTTTTTTTTGGCACTTTCCTGATCTCCACATGATTTGAAAAGTCATGTCAGCCAGAGCTACACTTCAGTGTCAGAGCCTTTACTGGCTCTGGGAGAATGTTATCCGGGCGCAGCACCTTGTCACTGAGGAGCTTCTTAACTTCCTCTGACGCTCTGCCTCTCCTGACAGAGGATGTGTTGGTGGGATTCAGGAGTTCCTCAGAGTTCTCTCTTCACTGCCAGAAGATATCTCTCTGAATCAGCAGTTTATCTCCCTTGGTGAATGGAGCCTGGGTCAAGACTTACTTTCCTTTCTTGAACTTCCTGACAGTTGAACAGAAAGCTACATTTTTACCACTTCAACTCCAGCTCTCTCCAGACACCAACGTTCATTTGCAACGTTAGGAAACTCCCAAACTATCCAGTAACAAGTAGATAACTGGTATTTTTAGTAGGCTGTGCTAAAGCACCGTGCAACAGTTTGACAGGTGTGAAAAAAGACTGCAAACAAAGAATGCTTTCCAATATCCAAGTGTTAATAATTCACCCGAGTTAACAAAACTGCATCAAGGAACGCAGAAAAAAATTTAAATAAAATCAACATTTGACTTTGATTTCAAAGATGGATCTTTCAGATAGATTTGCACATAGATTTTGAAGAAACATAGTTGCTGATCTATATTTAACCAGTCGTTTTATGTAACACCAGATAGTCTAAATGTATAACACAAAACAACACATTAATCTAACACTATCACTATCCAGTGATAGTGTTAGAAAAGCTGCAAAGCAGACCTAATTGATTTTTTGTCTGCATTCAGGTGGATGAAACTGAAAACAGTGATAGACGAGGAAGAAGTGATCTGTTCTGTTGCACCGTGGAAATGTCAAAAATGACTAACTGTTAGCCGCTAACAATGCTATTGGCATCTACTTCACCTTCCCATCAACTCCTGAGCACTAAAGGGTGATTTTATTGTGTTTTCATAAGTCTCAGCTGCAATTCATAATCTCTAGATGAGAATCAAACATATTGAACATTTTTACACTGAATGGGGATTTTCTAAAGCACAAATTGACACAAGAAAGGAGCATATTTAATCTTTATTTTGCATTAGCACTACTTTAGAGTTATAGAAGCGTAAACGGATGTATTGAGCCACTAAATGGTGTGAAATACCGACTCTATTAAAAAAAACAAACAAGGGATATTCTTAATTTTCCCCCAAGACATGTGATGTTTCATCATCATGTAGCCAGCGTTGATCAAAAAGAGAGACAAATTAATCCATTATTAAAAAAATAAGCACTCCAACTAATATATGATTCTTAAATCTTGACTTAAGACATATTCTTAATCACATTGCACTAAATAGTTAAATATATACAGATAAGCCATTGTTCTGTTGAGACCTTAGGCTCTTTTTGAGCTAATTTCCATTTTATAACTTAAAGTTTTGCCAAAAATGCATCTTGAATTAAAATATCTACATAACAGCAGATCCTCAGTCTAGTAAACCTTAGTGGCCAAAATCTTGTTTATGTAAATAACAGAGATAAGTTCTTTTACTTTTTTCTGACCTCTAACTCATTAATTTTTCATTTCTGATCCCTTTGATCAACAGAGAGCTGCTTCTCTGTGTGGAGAAGGTTTGACCCCATAACTCCGACTTCTTTCGGTTTCATGTGACGCTCTCCCTTCCTCTGAACTGAAGGGTATTCTTCTGTTTCACCCTCAATAAGCCGGTCCGGATGTGCGTGTCGGCTTAAAATGTAAATGCGAATGCGTGTCTGCTTTTATGAGCAGTGTGAGGGATTTTCTCTAATTCACCATGATATGCCAGACTCATTTTTGCCCAGATTGTCACTAGTGAGGATTTTTGAGCATTTAACTCTCTCCTGCATGCTACGCCAGTCACCTCCGCAAAAAAATAAACTTTTCTACCATAACACCTTTTTGCCAGGTTTCTTTTTGCCCTGACTGAACCGAAACTATATCTAAATCATTTCTCCTCTTTACTCCCCTTTGATCTTTGCAGCTGAATGAAGTGGGACCCTTTTTTCCCTCGTCCTTTTACACAGTTTCTTCCCCCTCCCTTTACCTCGAAGTCCTTCTCCGATGCCCAAGGCCAAGCCGTCCTTGGTCCACTGTACGATGCCCGTGTAGTTGAAGACCACGCAGGACAGCACCACTCGTTCTCCCAGCACCACTGACTGGTCGGCCGGCTCCTGGGAGAATCGCACACAGCACACTGCAAAAGAAGGACAAAGAAGGAAATCAATTTTAGGATCTGTTCATTGCGTCTTGGCCATGAGCTGCCATCCTTTATTATGCCGTATTGAGCGACACACAACCTCTCTAATCCTATTGACTCGTGTCTGTCTCTATGATGGCAGCTGGAGTAATTTGTTGTGTGCTTTTATGGAGTATATGGTGTATTTATAGTTTGATTTTAGTATTTGTTTTTATCACGAGGGCATTTCAACATGAATCCTGTCCGAGTGGAGTCCCTGTGTCTTGCAGAAGTATTTATTCTGCTTTAGATTTTCTACATTTTGTGATATCGCAACCACAAACTTTTGTGCTTTTTCTTGTGATATTATGAGTTGTGGAGAGGTTCAATGTAGAGCAGAAAAGTGTGTGCAAGTAAAAGAAGTACAAATTCTGTTGCTGGGAACTGTATGTCCACATGAAGACTATATTAGCCAAGGGGAAGGATAGACAGGGATTTAGAGATTTTACTTTATACAATCCTATTAATCATTTCAATATTTTGGCTGCGCTCAAAGCTCGGTTCCTTAAATTCCCATATTTGTCATTCCTCTGTGCCTTCTGCCGCTGCTTTGTCTCCTTCTTGCCCCCTTTCCAAGGTTTTCCTTGGACTTCTCTGAGGCTCAAATTTGTGTGTTGGACTGTGTGCATCTGTGCACGGATGTGTAAGCCAGCTCTTGTGCTGCAGGAACATCATTGCCGAGCTGTGATACAGCTTTTTTCATCACACAGTACAAAGGATTTTGCTTACATACACACATTTCCTGCAGCAAAATAAGCCTTTTGGCAATTGCTGCACCACTAAAAGACACAGATATAAAAACTACAACTGTAGCACTGGCAGCCATTAACACTCTCGCATAAAAAGAAAGTGTTAGGTGAAGAGGCAAGGCAGTGTTTTCAGCTGTTTGCATCATCAGGTAAAATTGTTTCATATTCCGGAGGAAAGTCTCGCAAGAAGCCACGTTAATTAAAGAGGAGAGAAAGAGAGAGAGTGGGGGCTGCCTCAGATTGCGAATGCACACGCACGTGAAAGGGCTCGTGCATGCACACTCAGGCACAAGCGGCGATCAATCACACCAAATGTATGCACTTGTGAACATTAACACACACACATCTCATCGACTCACTCCTGACAGAGAGAATACAGGCGTATCTATTCAGTCTTGCATGCACACACACACACAGGGTGCACCCCCCACCCACCCACTCACGTACTCACGCGCACTTCCACAGAGGCGGTGTTTGTCTTCCCATGGGCTATTCTGTTCTTGGATCATGGTTAAAACAATCCTATTAGCTAATTAAGGCAAAGAACTGGTTAATAAAGCAGGCCGTGGATCTAAGGGACGCATCTCTGTGGGATTCAACCACAAAGGTGCGCACAACAGAGAGATTTACTGATTTGTCAGGAGGATTACACATGTTGTGTTATTTGTGTGAATAGCTCCTTTACAGCAGGGGCTGGGATCTCCAGACTTCTCACAAGGAGGGCTTTGATGTTTCTTTATCTTTGCTTCTGATTTCAGAGGACAACTGCAGCGACTGCCTGCTGGTGTCTGTGTTTTCATTTAAAATTTAGGGAAAAATCTGGTTTAAAGCACTTCCTTGTTATTGGCTTCAGTTGAAATTAAGCTCATGAAAGAAAATTCAAAGAGTTTCCCTTGTGCATACATACTCTTATTCAAGATAACTTTTTATTGCAACATTAGAATAAAATATTTTATCTATTGATTAAATACTGAAATAATTCTAAATTCCTATTAGAAATTTCACATATTTGTTCTTCTGGGGAGCCATTGATATTACAACGCCCCAAAAAATGTGGATATAGGTTAAATAAATCCCATCAGCAACTCAAAATTGTAACATAGTATAATTATAGAGGTTAATGTACAGTTAAGCCCAATTTTTACTATAAACCCGGCAGATTTATGGTTGACGTCATTATTTAATTGGATCAATATGTTTCTTCTGAGTGAAAGTAATATTAACATGTTGGAGTGACGCAGTCCTTAAATCTGGCAAAGAATTTTGAGGAAGTTTAAGATTAGGGTCATGGGAAAGAGGCCTTCCAACCTCACTGCCAAAGATAAATTATAGAAGAACCAGTGGGTAAGACTTGATGCTGCAGTATTAAACATATTTTGCAGAGCTGTAGTGAAAGGTTACACTTAAAAAAACAACAACACCTAAACAATAGATGCATTTCTATTACAAATGTGTACAGAACTTTGTTTCTGTGCAAATATAGAAAAAAGACAATTTTGCAATTGCAGTGTTTCCAATAAATAAAAAAAATAAATTAAATCATGAAGGAATAACTTTGCTCATACAAGAATCCGTTGAAAATCATGTTGAACCGTAATACTTCCACCACTTCCTGTCAAGCCAACAATGTCTTCGTCTTCGTGTTCTGACTTGTATGATGCAAAACAAGTATTTTGATTTAACTAAATATATGAACGGCCATATGGCCAAAAAATAGGATTTTTATTTTTATTTTACTTTTTTACTTTTTTTACTGAACTAAAATCCCAAATTCACTGAAAAGCAAATCGCATGCTTAGAGTTACTGTTCCTCAGGAACTGGTCCTCTCTGTTTTGACAGATGTGAAATTTGACTTTAGGGGTTTCGGTTCATTTAAAATTGATCCTTTCATTCTCATTGTTGGCTTGATGTTACAACATAGACCCAATGTTTAACAATGAGGAAAAGTTTCTTTTATTTTCTGGAGGCCCTTCCAGACCTGCCACACACAGTGTTTTGTTCCTGATGGTGTCACAAACATTAACATACGAAATAGACCTCATTACCCTTACAGGACCGAATCCATACAGCCTTTGTGACCTTCTGTACTGTCACACACCTTCTGTTGGGGCGATTTTTGTTAACCCAAGAGTTTAGGGGTTGATAACAGTTTTAAGTTTCTTTCAGACGTACACAGTCTGTCAGTCAGAGCTTCAGTAGAGTCTCAACTTTTCCATAACTTTCCAGAGTTCTTTGTTCTCTCAGCACCATTTATAAATACAATTGTTCACAATCATTTTAAGGCAGATATTTATCCATTGGGTTGGATTCAAATATGGAACCTGGAAAAATCCCAAAATGGAAGGAGGAAAAGAAAAAAAATATGGATAAAAGGGAAATAAGTTTTTGAAAAGAAGAGTTTCCTAATTTTTTGTTTCTTTTCTTCTTTCCTCGCTTATTGAGAACACGGAGATGAATGAATATAATTCCAAGATTTTGAAAGCTGTCAAAAATTTGCTCGACTGAGGCTCTGGGCAAAGCTAAAAGTCTAAATATAAACCCTTAAACATTGTGTTGTGAAGAGATGTGTTTTGATAGATGTCACTTCTTTGAGCATTTCCCTTGCAGATATACTTTTGAGAACCACAAATCCATAGTGTATTTATTTCTCAGCAAGAAAAACCACAAATAATGAAATCTATGTCAAATATTGATACATTTTATCTCATTGTTCTTGAAAAAAAAATCCAAGACAAACATAATAGATGAGACAAAACAATGAAAAGTAAAGCTGTTCCCCTTGGAGGAGGAGAAGAAGAAGAAGAAGCTGCTGGGAAGTGATATCCTGCTGACATGAGTGATTTACATGTGGGTCATGTTCTGCATGATTTATGCAAAATTAACAGCTATTACAAGCACAGTCTTTCTTCTGCGTGTAGAACTCTGCTCTCAACAACAAGTTTTCTCCTGGGATACACCTCTGTGAGTTTACAGTTTCTCTCAGCGAGAGAAGAGAAATAATAAAAAAAAAAAAAGTAGGAGAGGTGGGAACATTTTTCTGTTATTGTGTCGTGATATTTAATGGTAAATGTGTGTGCGGGAGTATTTTCGTGTGCATTTTTTGTGAATGTGGGCATGTCGTGTGTGGCCTGTCAGCCTGAAGCGGCTACTCAGTTTGCAGAGGAGAAAGCCACACTGACAGAGAACAGAGATGTAATTAACCCTACGGGAAACCCACCCTGCTTCCCCCCTCCCAAATACACACACCCCCTAATATCTTCTCCTCTTCATCTTCTCTTGTTTCAGACTACTCTCTTCTTCTTGCTGCTTAGTCTTTGTTACGTCGTAGATTTACGGTCAACAGCAAAACATGTTCACTGCTTAAAATCATGTACAATTTGTTACATTACAACCACAAGCTTAAGTGTATTTTATTGGGAGTTTATGCATCTGGCTTTTACAAAATAGCATATTTAAACATTACTCTGTATATTTCTTTTGCTACTTTTGAATGTCGTTTTGCTAAAATTTGCATGATTTAACCCAGCCGTCGTTTCGTGTTTCTTTACTTCTCCAGATCCGTTTCACCCCAGCTGTCTCTTTTAGCCTCATCTTTTCCATCGTTTCCATCTCAGCATCATCACCCTGGGGGATGATGTTCTCCTCCTCTCTCACTCTCATCACATAATGACCCATTGGTACAATAGATGAAGCGTCACAATAAAAACCAGGGATGCCTAATCATATTATCCTCCATAATCACTTTTATTCATTTTGGTCTTTTTTCTCCTCAGGCAAAGCTCTCAAACCATTCAAATTACTTAAGAAGAAAGTATATGTATAATAGTAAAATCTTAGTACAACATTAAATATGAGGCATAGCATTAATATTCAGATGGAGGAGCTGTACTAAAATCTTTGATGAAATCCAAGAATTAAAGCTTAGAGACATTTAAGAACAAATGACTCATTTTTGTAAAACCAACAAATTCTGTCAAACCAGGCCTATTAATTCAAACTTAATTAGTAAGTATAGTCCAGCTGGGTAACATAAAATCACTGGATAATAGAAACTATGAGTTGAACAAAGCTAGTAGGCCAAACCAAATGAAGAGAAATCTACAGCAAACTGGTATATTTTAAAATGTTTTTTTGTCACTTAATGTTAAGCATTTATTGACATCTTAAGCCTATTAAGTAAATGTTTGGTAAAAGCTAACTGTGTTGTG